TCCATAAAGTCCAGAATTAGCTGATAGGCTTCTTTTTCTGATTGACACAATCCTGAAAAGGGGGGTGTCATTGAAGGAGGTTAGCTGATTTCATCAGGTGGGCTAGAAAGGACAGACTCTCTTCTCCTCCCCCTCCGTTGAGAAGACCAGAAAACCACCAAGGTGCAGCGTGGGCACGCACAGCGCCTCTCACAGGTCTTTCACTTAGACTTACAGCTCTCACTTAGACTTTCTGCATCAGGTGTGGCCACTGATTCGAGAATGATTAGGAAGGGAGAAGCCTTTAAGTCACTCTCAGCGCCCCACAGATTTCTGGGGACTGTCCCACACTGCCTTTGAAAGTCCTGTTTATGGCTGGGCAGGGGTTGCACACACCTTTAATCCCAGCACTCGGGAGGCAGAGGCAGGTGGATCTCTGTGAGTTCGAGGCCAGCCTGGTCTACAAGAGCTAGTTACAGGACAGGCACCAAAGCTATAGAAAAATCCTGTCTTGAAAAAAGAAAAAGAAAGAAAGAAAGAGAGAGAGAGAGAGAGAGAGAGAGAGAGAGAGAGAGGGAGGGAGGGAGGGAGGGAGGGAGGGAGGGAGGAAGGAAATAAGAAAGAAATTCCTGGTTGTGAATGGACTTTGAGTCTCAAGTCGGCCTTGGTAGCCTTTCTTATGGACCTGGGGAGATGACTATAACCTAAAGGGCCTGCCGCAATGAAAGGTGAAGACAGCGTTTAGGAGGGAGGCTGGGAAGAGTTCAGAGGGATAAGAATGAAGGCTATGGCAGTGTACGGCCCCAAAGCAGCACAGATAAGGGGCCTGAGCTCAGGCCTCTGCTGTTCTTCCACATCGCCCTACACACTCACACACACACACACACACACACACACACACACACACACACACACGATCCCAGCAGGAGGGGCTTGAAGGCACAGCACGGCTCTTCCTTTCACTAGCCTGCAGCCTGCAGCAAATGAAGCTCTCAACTTTGTTTCCTCAGTTGTGCAATGGGGAAGATGGACCTCCACGTTGTGGAGTTCAATGAACTAATGAAGGCAGAGGGATCTTCAGTAAATTAGTGCCTCCCACCCCGACCCGGCCCAGGACTGTGGAGCATGCCTGTAATCCTAGCATCTGGAAGGTAGAGACAGAATCAGGAGTTCAAGGTTATCCTCGGCCAAAATTGCGTGCAAGGCCAGCCTGGACCTTCAGAGGGATGAGTTGAGAGACTGAAAGCACAGCCCCGAGAGACAAACGGTAGCATAGCAAGGGAGGGAACAGAAGTAAGCTGTCAGATCCGGAATCTATTTTGATGATTAGCAGAGACAGATGGTGGACATGATGAGAGTGTGGAAGTTAGGACTGGGGTTCGGTGGTAGGGCACTTGCTCAACATGCCGAAGGGCCTGGTTCAACTCCTCGGGAAAACTACAAAACACAATCTAATTAGGCATAGTGGCACACACCCGTGTACACACCTGTGCACACACCTGTGCACACACCTGTGCACACTCCTGTCATCCAAGCACTTGGGAGACACATGCAGAGGATCTTGGGTTTGAGGGCACCCCGGGCTATATAGGTTGAGATTTAAGCCTGCCTGGCCTGTAGAGTAAAATCCTGTCTCAGAAAGTGAAAATAGATACCAAAGCTAACAAAATTCAAAGAAAGCTGTGGCGGTGCACACATGTGATTCTAGTGCTCGAGAGGCTGAGGCAGAAGGATCAGTGCAAACATGATGCCTGCTTCCTCTACAGAATGAACTCCAAGGCAGCCAGTGCAATGGTACATGGTACCACATAGTAAGACTCTGCTTCGAGGGGGAAAAATGCCATGGTACATGGTACCACATAGCAAGACTCTGATTCAAGGGGGAGACAAAAAAATAAAAAATAAAAAAAAACAAGCAACAGGTTAAATTCTGGCTTGAGAAACTAGAAGGATTGGGTTGTTGTTTGTTGACGTGAGGAGATCTGGAAATGGCAGGAAGGACAGAGTTCAGCTGGAGCATGGACCGTGCTGATTCTGAGATGTCTACTGGGCATCGTAGTGCAGATATCAATAGACTTTTGGATAAGACATGGTGTTGCATCCCTGCAATCCTAGCTAATCAGGAGGCCGAGGCAGGCAACTCACAAGCTTGAGTAATGTAGCAAGACTCTGTCTAGAAGGGGAGGAGGAGGAAGGGGAGGGAGGAGGAGGGAGAAGGAGGGAAGGGGGAAAAAAGAGAAGACGGACAGAATAAGAGCAGGTAGAGGTGCTAGCCACCAAGGCTGAGAGGCTGAGTTGGATCTTCTAGACCCACACTGGTGGAGAGGACCTACTGCTGTAAGTTATCTTTTGATCTCCACATGTGTGCCATAGCATGTATGCACATTGTGAGCACACACTCACGCACTAAAGGAATAAAGGACTCTTAAACTGAAAAATACCGGTGGTGTCGGAACTTGGACTTTGGACACTGCAGGTGTCTGTTTTAGGGGTTGATGGCCTGCACTACAGCTCCCCTGAACATCTAGTTGTCTTTAGGTGAGCTATGGCCAAGATCTTAGACAATGTCAGTGCCCAGCTCCAGGCCTCTCAGGGAGGCAAGCTTGCGAAAGGGGCAGACCTGTAGAGACTAGAGCTGTGGGGGTGGGGGTAGCCAGCAGTAAGCGGACATGCGCCCTTGGAGGGGCGTCTCCCGCAAGGGTCAGGCAATCATCCTCATCCTCACCCACTTCCAAACGATGGCAGTAAGATGAGAGATACCCGGGCCTGGAGAAAGCTGCTCACCTGAGAAGCACGGCTTCAAGAAGAAATTGTAAGCCGATGGATGAAACGTTACTCTGCTCAGATTTTTCTCGAGGTGTCGATTCGTCTGCGCACCCAGGATAGAACCCAATAGTTTGTGATGGGACTAGCCGTCAGGCCTGGTATGAGCTGGGTCTTCTTGGGGAGTCGGGGTTAGTATAGGGGGAGGTTGCAGGAGACAGCCTGACCATTTACAGGAAAAGGATGGGGTTGGAGGATGGTGGTTCAATAGCAGAGCGCTGCTGTTAGCCTTAGTGTACACTGAGGCTCTAAACGTATCCGCGGCATGGGGGCAGAGTGCAGAAAACGGGAGAATAACTACAGGAAAAGAACCAACCCAAGGGGACTGGAGAGATGGCTCAGAGGTTAAGAGCATTACTGCTCTTCCAAAGGTCCTGAGTTCAATTCCCAGCAACCACATGGTGGCTCACAACCATCTGTAATGGGTCTGGTGCCCTCTTCTGGCCTGCAGACATACACACAGACATAAAATTGTATACATAATAAATAAATAAATATTAAAAAAAAAAAAGAACCAACCCAAGATGTTGCCCATGCTGGGTCCCCTTTGTCAGCTTCCCACTTCATCTGCTCCCTCAGGGGAAGGAGCACAACCCCCAGGTGCACAGCCCCCCGAAGGGTCCTGATTACTTATGATTTGTGTAGGCACCTGTTCCATCCAAGGATCTCCCCGGGGTGATGGCAGACTCAAGTTGGCTCTCAGGGAAGTCTCCATCTACGGCTCTGGGTGTCTTAAGGCCAAATCCCAAAGCTGCTCTGAGCAGAGAGGCTTCATTCCTGTTCCCTGGGATTCATCATCCCACTTCTGCCCTCTGGTGGGGGGGCTAAGTGCTCCACAAGCCTGCCCTTCCCAGACATGGCGCAGCAGAAGGAGCCTGTGGACTGAAAGGAACTGCTGCCTGACCAGGTCTTCACACTGGCACATTTCATGGCTGGCTGCTGAGGAAAAAACTTTTAATTTCTTCTTTAACCCTTCCCCTTTAACTTGCCTTGCCTCCTGCACAGATTATCTCAGCAGAGCCCTCTGATATTGGCTCAAGTTTTTCCTGGAGTTGGGGGTGGAGGCTGGAGAGATGGCTCAACAGTTAAGAACATTGATCTGGAAAACCTAGGTTCCATTACCAACACCCTCACAGTAACTCCAGTTCCAGGGAACCTGATGCCCTCTTCTGGCTGAAGTGGGTACTGCACACACATAATGCACATACAGTCAAAACACCCACACACATTTAAAAAAAAGTCTAAAAATATATTTCCTTGGCTTAACAGATAACGAGTGGCTAAAATACAAAATTGAATACTGGCCTAACATGTGTGAAACCCTGGGTTCCATCCCCAGTGCAGCAAAGAAAAGTTCAAACTCACCACAAAATAAGTTAAATCCAAAATCAAGTCCCTAACTACCCACAGCTAAAAGTTAAATGGATGCTCAGATCTGAGATTAGGATGCCCACAGCTTCTCTCTACAGGCTCTGGAACTACCTTCCCTCCCTGCCTAGCCCCCAGTATAAAGTAACCCCCAGGCCTAAAGAAGTCAGGCCCTTGAAGGTCAGATGCCCACAGTCCCTAGGGCTGGGCCACCCAGGGCAGAGCTGCAGTCACACCTGCATAACCACCTGCCTGCCCCTTTGTGACCTACCTCTTCCTTGACTGTGGGCAGGGACAGGCAAAACAGAGACCCCTTTACTTGACACATGCTACCTCAGACTCAGACCACAAGCGTCCCAGAAACTGGAGTCATAGGGGACAGTCTGCTCCCAGTTCCTGAGCACCCCAACAGGGCCCAGTGAAAGCTGCAGTCTCCCACCCTCCACCCCCCTCCCCGGGCTTTTTGCAGACACAGGAGTTATGGACAACCCCTCTTTCACCCAAGGAAAGCCTGTTTTTCCAGCCACAGGACTTGTTTCTCGCAAGCCTCTAACCACAGCTTGGCTTGGGCCATTTGACACCAGAGGTGAGCCTGTCCCAAAATCTCTCTGGAGATGACTTCCAAAGCATAGCGCTCAGTCCCTGGAGACATCAAGGTGCTGCGAAGGATTCCCTTCGGTCAAAGAAGCAACCTGGGTCTCCCTCTGCCACCCCACCTGCTCCCTAGAGACATGGCCAGACTGTTGGAAAGGTGAACCAGAAGCCCAGGGAGCTGGGCACAGCCTTTGTCAGAAAACTCTACACATACACACACACAAAATCCTTCCTCCTCAGCTGGGCCAATCAGACTTTATTGAAGTATTTGGCACAACGTTGCGCAGTTTCAGCCCTGCAGCTGCGGGCACCGCCACTGTGCAAACACACGAAATAGCTGTTAGGTAAGACCAATAAGTTAACGCGGAGGGTGCTCAGGCGTGGGGAGGGCCCAGCACTCAGATGTCTCCCAGCTTTGTGACTTAGGAACTAAGGCACTTAGGGATCCAGAGAACACACTGGGAAGGGGCATCTATACACTAGGGTAGGGGCTCAGAAGCCAGACAAGCAAAAGCAGGGCAGCCAAACAGTGTGGAGAGCGGAGCTCTGTAGGATGCGGTGAGAACACGGGACAGAAATGCCTTGTGCAACTCCTTGAGCTTGCCTTAGCCCCCTAAATTCCTAGCACCGCCCCTCCCTCAGCCCCAGTGCAATGGGCCACACTGTTTTCTCTCCAGCAGGAGAAACAGACCATTAGAGTCAGGCATCTGGCGTTCGTCCAGTCCGGAGAGGAACTAGAGAAGTGCTCAAGTGGAGAAGACCACACAGACTCACAACCGCTTACCTGGGCATCTGACCTGACAGCAAAGGAACTTAATTGTACCAGTGGTCTAAGCGTAGGTAGCTTCCTGGCTTGCCTGGTCTTAGGATCTGGGACAACTCATTCATGTTATCTAAGCCAATCCAGCACCCTATAGGGAGTCATTAATGAACGTCTCCGGGTGTGAACAAACAAGGATTTTTCTCAGAGCAGAAAATGGAAGGAGCAGTAACTGCCTCCTCAAATACGCCACAGAAGTGGCACTCAAAAAAATGTATTCATACATATGTATAAAAATATGTAAACATGTATACATTTTTTTTAAGGTGCTGGCTTCTAGGACTATGAAGATTTCAGAGGGCATACTTGCTAACCAGCCTAGCCTCACATTGGCCAGCAGTGGCTGTGAAGGGTGAGGTGTTCCCCACCAACCAGCCCCCTGATTAGACAGTCTAGTGTAGCCTCAAAGTCCAGGTTCAGTGGTCTGAGAGCTCAAAGGTATGGAGACAGAACCGAGGTGGAGGCTGCTAGCAGAGGCCTGTAGCGTTGGGAGAAGAGCGGGAAGACAAGGCTCCGCCAGGACATAATGACTTTCCTGCCATTGAGTGTGCATCACAGAGCACATAAAAGGGAGAGGAGAATCCTGCCCAGCATACGGTACCCAGAGATCTGGGAACAAGGGAAGAGTCCTTGTTGTGTGTGTACCACATCCCGCCTCCCGCGGTCGGAACCAGCAGCCACCTCAGGAAGAAGGCACAGAGCATCGGGGGAATCCCAAGGGGCCTCTAGGCCACTTGGACTGCATAAGAAGATAAATGCTGCCATCAGCCCAGCAAGTCCTTAAGTCCAAAAGGCCAGACTCCGGGGGATAAAGTACAATCATATTATAGGAACCGTGAAGACAAATCACAGATATAAATCCTCAGGTCAGGGCTTCTGGAAAACACTCCTGTAAAAAACAAAGGCTTCAGCTCTGAGTCATCGGCCGGCGATGAGGGCAGGAGAGCCGAAGGAAGCACTTAGGGGTGAGGGGTGTCAACCCCAGCTCCAATATGAAAGTCTTTTCCAGCTGTGGCCAAGGCTTTCAACGTAGTTACACCTGGCTGATGATCTCGCCGTTCTCAGGCACAAAGACTTGCACCGGAGCCCCATCTGGTGACCTCCGGAGTACACACACTGGGGGCACCTGTCACAGGGAGAAAGGAGAGGTGGATGAGCAAACTGGGCAGACAGTCAGCACTGAGAACACGCTCACACCTTTCTTCTTGCTCAAAAGCATAGACCACCACAGACCAAGCCCCTGTGGTCTGCTCCCGCCCTCCCCAAGAATGATGCTCCCAGGTACCCCCCACCCCCCATCTGTTTACCACTCCAGGTTCTTTGGGATGTGACAGGCACCCTGACCTTCTTCCCCACCTTTCCTGGCCTCATGTCTCATCACCGTCCCTGTCTAACAGGTTGGGATGGGCCAAGCCTAGACCAAAGACAGGTCCGAGCTCGCAGGAAGAGAAAAGCATGTCAGCTGGAAGGGTGTTCAGCCTGGGACTGGGCCAGGGTGCTGCCCAGCCAGGGATGGCAGCTGCAACAGCCCAAAGAACCAGGGGGGAGGGGAGGATGATGCAGCTGGGCTGCTGGGAATCTGGGGTCTCAAAGAAGCAGCTTGTTGGTAACTTCTAGAGCGTGTCCCCTGCATAGCCTTCTGAATCAGGAAGGGAAAAGAAAGAGAGGATTCATGCCTGCTATCCTAGCTCTAAGAATGAAGAAATGGGGCTCACAGAAACCAAGGTTGCATCCCTACCCAAAGTCAGTGTTCTTAAGCCGAAATGCTACCACTGCAACCTACTCCCCCCCCCCCCCCCCCCCCCCCCCCCCCCCGGCCTCTGGGAGCATGGGTGATATTACCTCTCACTCAGCGCTCTTGCGCATTGATCTAGTCATTTTAGATGCTTAATCGCCCTATGAGAGGAGTCACTTACAATGCGTCTTTTTGAGGGGGAGAAATAGAAGCCTGTGAGTTAAGTAACCCACAGGAGCGTATAACTTGTAACAATTGGGGCTGGGATTAGAACCGGGTACGCTAGCTGTTAACCAAGAAACCATTTCAGCTTGGCTGCCCTGAGTTGCTTTCTGCAAACCCGTTTTCCAGATTCTCCTTTTGTCCGGGCCCTGGAGTCAGGAAATTCCAACGGTTAATTTGGGTTGCACATTTGGTTACACGGAAGTTTATCTGCTGTGTGGATCGTCTGTGAAGCCATTAGGGGGAAATCTCCACAGCTATCTGTGTGGATGATCTTTACAGGGCCACACTGGTATGTGGGTATGTGCTCTTGCAGGAGACACTAGACACAGCAGGCACAAGTCAGAGACACTCATAGGGAGGTCAGAAGTGCTTTCTAAAGCCAAAAGGATACACTCTTTTTTTAGCCTAATTTTCCCAATTAGGGATTACTTGGCCAGTAGTCTGCTGATCTAATAATGTCTTCCCCCAGGGGATGCTCGACCTGTGTCCGAGGTCCTGAGGCCCGCCCGAAGCTCTCCCTCCCGGGAGGCAGGCTCCTAACGCGGAAAGCCCCTTGGCGGTCGAGTGAGTGGGGACGGCTGCTCCGGAGACGTGCCCGCTCATGCCACCACTTGAGCTCCTCGGAGACGGCTGCCTTGCTGAGTGCCCTGCCCGCGGGACTGTCCTTCAATGAGGGTGTGCGCACGATGCGGCTGTGGGAGGGCACCAGCCGCTGGTAGCGCAGGGGAGCGCCCTCCTCGTCGTAGGCAGCACTTAGGGCTGCACGACACAGCTCCCACTCGCCCGGTGGCAGATGGCCCTCGGCCACCATCACGTAGCGCCCTGTTGGGAAGTATCCAGCGGGCAGCAGAAGTTTAGGGTAGTGAGGGGCCAGCTCTCGGCCATAGGCTGGGCCCCAGACCCCATGATGGCGAGGTGGCTCAGGGGGACCGAGGGGCCGTAGAAAGGAAATGTCTGGGCTGCTGCTGCCCGGTGAGGTAGGGTGGGAGATGCTGGAGACGTCAGAGCCGCTGTCTTCAGAGCAAGAGTGGCAGGCAGGGTGCGGCAGCGGGGGCTTGCTGGGCGGGAAGCAGGAGTCCGGCACGGTCACCGTGTAGTGAGTGGGGCGGCGGCGGGGAAAGGCACTGCGACCTCGGCCCTCCGCACCTGATCGGAAGGAGTCCATCCTGAAGAGGAAGCAGGAAAGCTCTGAGTGGGGGAGGAGCCACACTGTTATGATAAGTTATGACTTTGGAGGCCGGTGTTCTATCCCAAAGCAATGAGCGTGTGCTAGGCTTACTCTGGTCAGACCTCCTCAGTCTTGTGCATATATGCAGAGGCAACACATTTCCTCCCAGCATGCTCTATTGCTATCTGCTCCTGCTCCATTCATGCCCAAGTGATTCCTTCTAGCCCTTTCCGTGTAGGGATAAACTAAATCCATGGGTGCTGGCATGAGTCACAAAATCCAGGTTACAAGTCCCTTGATAAAACAGGTAAGCATTACATACAATACATCCTGTGGACTTTAAACCATCTCTGGAGATCTTATAATTCCTAATGCGGTGCAAAGGCCATGTAACTAGTTCACGTACTGTACTATTTAGGAACAGTGACGAGAATCTGATGAATGGGGAATGTGGCTCAGAGGTAAGAATACTTGCTTAGCTTGCATGAAGTCCTAGGTTCAATGCCCAGACCTGCAAAAGGAATTTTGTTCCTGTCCGATACATATGTGATTTTTTTTAAAAGGATTTTGGTTTCTCAGTTGATTCGAACCACAGACAGGAAGGCCGACATTCTGCGATATCCATGTCACATTTCCCAGGCAGCTAGGGTACACTCTGCTCAGTAACATTTCCTTCAGACGCTGTCTGCTTAGACATTGTCGAGCATCTAACTTCAATGTGAAAAGCTTTTATGTGTTCCAAAGGGCAGGAGCGTGCAGGACGGGATCGTGGAGGGCTAAAATCTAGCTCCTGCTCTGCTTACATACTGGGCATGGGGCAGGGTTCCCTTTGAAGTTTCTGTACAAAGACATTGTTTATAAAATGACCTTGGTGGTAGTGAAAGTATAAAACCAGCTTTACTTTGGAGCCACTGCACCTGTCTAAGGCTACCTGATGAGCAACCTGAAGAGGCTTTGGTGCTATCAGGTAGGCATGGCACCACTTTTCATATCTCGTTGACTGAAACTACTGCTATCGGGCAGTAGGGGCTTGGAAAGAAACATACGGTTGGTTTTCATTACTCATAGGTTTAGTATTTGCCAATTCACCTATTTGCTCAAATTGATTCCAAAGTCAATATGCGCAGCGTTTTGCAATGGCTAATCTTGTCCACTTGACAGGATCTAGAATCACCTACGCGACAAACCTCTGGATGTGTCTGTGAGGAGTTTCTATACTGGGTTAGTTGAAGTGAGAAGACCACTCTAAATATGGGTGGCACCTTTCAATGGGCTAGGGTCCTGGGCAGGATTAAAAGTACTGAGAGTTGCTGAGCCTGGTGGCTCACATCTCTGATCCCAGCACTCAGGAGGCAGAGGCAGGCGGATCTCCGAATTCAAGGCTAACCAGGTCTACAGAGTTCCAGGACAGCCATGACTACACAGAGAAACTTTTCTTGAAAAACAAAAACAAAACAAAACAAAGGAACTGAGAATGAGCTGGGAAGCCGCATTTATCTCTCTCTGCTTCCTGGCCACAGATGCACTGAGTTACCTCGTCCTCCTGCCGCCACGCCTTCCCTACACGGTGGACAGCACTTCCAGCTGTGATCCAAAGCAAAACCTCTTTCTTTGAGTTGTTTTGTCTGGGATTTAATCCCAGCATCGAAGGAGAAAAGTAACTAACACATAGTCATGATCGCTTGGAGCAGCAAAGGATTCAGATTGCTTTAAGAAAACATCTCCAGGGGCTGGAGAGATGGCTCAGTGGTTAAGAGCATTGCCTGCTCTTCCAAAGGTCCTGAGCAACCACATGGTGGCTCACAACCATCTGTAAAGAGGTCTTGTGCCCTCTTCTGGCCTTCAGGCATACAGACAGAATATTGTATACATAATAAATAAATAAATATTAAAAAAAAAAGAAAACATCTCCAGCAGAGGTTGACCAAGGGTCAAGTGCTGAGTTTGGTGTGGGTAGTACAGAGGTATTGAACCAAGGAGGAGGCTGAGGCAGGAGGATGGTGGATTCCAGGCCAGGCTAGACTACACAGGGAAATCTTATCTACCAGCAAACACAACATTAACAAAACACAGCTGGGGTACATAGAAAGCTTCTCCATCACTCATGGGGCCTGGGTTCCTTCTCCAGCTCTGCCCCACACTGAAATAGAACTAAATAGTTCATGTGTGGCCATCATACTTCATCCTTCAGACTTCCTGTGGTATTTATTAATTAGTGTATGGGGGAGGGACGGTGACTTTATTATTTTTTGTTTGCTTGCTTTTTTGTTTTGTTTTGTTTTTGTTTATTGAGACAGGGTTTTTCTGTGTAGCTTTGGAACCTGTCCTGGAACTCGCTCTGTCAACCAGACTGGCCTCGAGCTCACAGAGATCTGCCTCTCTCTGCCTTCCAAGTGCTTAGATAAAAGGCGTGTGCCACCACTGCCCAGCTTGCTTGCTTGTTTCGAGAAAGGGTCTCTCAATGTAGTCCTGGCTGTCCTGGACCTTGTTCTGTAGACCAGGCTGGCCTGGAACCCACCAGCCTCTGCCTCTCAAGTGATGGGAGGTACCACACCCGACTACTTTATATTTAAAATGGCCCCACAAGTGATGCTGAACTGCTCCCTGCAGTTTCGAAGCACAAGAACACTGTGAACCCTCCTGTAGAGAAAATAAGACTGCTAGATCAACTTCATTCAGACTAACTTACAGTGTCATTTGGCATGAGCCCAGTGTTAATGAAGCCACAGATGTATTAAGTGTCCTAAACAGAAACTCATGTTCAACAAGGACATAAGCAGTACTCGGTTAATGAGCAACACTGTCACCAAAATCTGTATTTCCTTAAGGCAGAGGGTCTCAAGCTTCCTAATACTGCAACCCTTTAATACATGTTGTGGTGACCCCCAACAAAATTACTTTCGTTGCCACTTTGGAACTGTAATTTTGCTACTGTTATGAAACGTAATGTAAATATCTGTGTTTTCAGATGGTCTTAGGTGACACCCGTGAAAGGGTGGTTCCACCCCCAAAGGGGTTGCGACTCACAGGTTGAGAACCTCTGCTATTGGTGTTTACAGCCATGCTGTAGGCCATGATTATCGTGAATCACGAGAACCAACTGTGCATCGACTGGAAAAGTCTGCTTTGTCGGCGACCAACAGTAAAGCAATATTCGCCAGTGTGTGAAACCAGGGCGAGGCTGGGAACCTCGTGTCAAGGAATCCTCCTTCGCGGATGAAATGCTTTGCACTCGACCTCCTCAGAGAGGCACCCCAGAGGGATGCAAAGGAGCACCCAAGGTGCTAGCCCTGTGTCACCCAGGGTGTCTCAGCAGTATCTGCGTAGCTGGGGATGGGAATGGGCTGTCCCCTACACCCCTAAGGTAGCCTTCTTACCTCAGAGACTGCGACTGGCCCCTCCTGCCCTGCATCTCAGGGGTAGCTGGGGCACTGGTGCGGCCCTGCCGCTGGCCAGGAACATTTCGGATGGGGACCACGTGGTAGGAGGCAGGATCTAGCAGCCACAGGCTGGAGGCGCTGGGCTGCTCTTGAGGAGTGGTGGCTGGGCTGCTGCAGAGATGGGAAATGTCAGTGGCCGCAGTGTTTTATTTAGAGCGGTGGTCCTCCACCTTCCTATTTGCTGTGACCCTTTAACACATGGTGACCGCCCCAACCATAAAATTATTTTTGTTGTTACTTTAGAACTATAATTTCATTACTATTGTGAATTATAATGTAAATATCTGTGTTTTCTAATGGTCTTAGATAACCCTTGTGAAAGGGTCTTTCCCCACCCACAGGGCCAGGACCCACAGGTTGAGAACCTCTAATTTGAAGGCTCACAAGGCTAGGGTCTCAATGGGAGTGGTACAAAGTGTCAGCACCCCAAAAGGCTACCAGTTCTCACACCTCTGGCATCACCTAGCTAATAAGAGTGATCACTTGGGCATTCCCCATCCACAGCTCCAGTCAGGACCACCCTAGCGACCACCTGCAGATTCCCATTCACAGCCCCAGTGGGGACCACCCGAGCAACCACCTGCACATCCCTCATCCACAGACCCAGTGGGGACCACCCTAGCGACCACCTGCACATCCCTCATCCACAGCCCCAGTCAGGACCACCCTAGCAACCACCTGCACATCCCTCATCCACAGACCCAGTCAGGACCACCCTAGTGACCACCTGCAAATTCCCATCCACAGCCCCAGTCGGGACCACCCTAGTGACCACCTGCACATCCCTCATCCACAGCCCCAGTGGGGACCACCCAAGTGACCACCTGCACATTCCTCATCCACAGCCCCAGTGGGGACCACCCTAGCGACCACCTGTACATTTCTCATCCACAGCCCCAGTGGGGACCACCCTAGTACTCTCCACCTATCTGCCCCCTGCCTTCCTCCCCAGCCTGACCTGGACTCGCTACTGAGCTCAGAAGACTTCCTGGGCTTCTCATAGGGGTGATCCAGGCTGGTCTCCTTCCATGGACTGTTTTGGATGGGGGCCCGTTCTAGGCCACCAGACTCAGGTCCTGTAGGCTGCAGGCCCTCAAGGCTCTGGGGTGGGAGAGGCCGTGAAGGTGGTGCCGGTGCCGGTGCTGGAGACTCTGGGGGAGGTTTTGGTGCTTTGGAATCTTCTGCAAGCGTAGAAGAAAAGGCAGAGGCTGGGGAAAACCGGCTCAGCAAGAACCTCCACAACCCAGGCTTTGCTCTCCCTCTTCGATGCCTTGACCTACTGCTCCAGGCCACAGCCCCAATCCCAGATAAGAAACACTGCTTTCTTCTCCCTTGGGACTCCTTCCCCCTTTCCCCAGTCCTATTTTAATTTTACACCTGCTTCCTTGCTCAGTCTCTCTACTCCACTTTCCAGCACTTGCTCACGGTGGGTGCCTGTCTGCAGCTACCTACTTTTCTTGTTCCTGCCTCACCTAGGTGCCCTGTTTCCTTATTGGCCTGGGCACACCCTGGGCACGCCTGCATCGCTTTCTTAGTCCACTTTGACCCTCACTGCTCTCAGTCTTTTTAAACACGATCCTTAATCCACAGTCTTGTACATCCTCTCCAGTGTTGCCTTCCTTTCAACCACAGCAATGATTTTGAGTAGCCCGTCCACTGGCTCTAACTGGCTCTGAAACACATCCTCTGAGCGAAGCAGGGACACCAGGGTTAATGGGACAGGCTAGAGCTCATCATTCCCTTCCTCATCAAAAGGACCCATTGAAAGAAGAGCTCAGCACATCCCCCACCCTCAACGGGGCATGAGCCTGGACACACAGCAACTGACATCAGATCCGAGGCAGACCCTTAGCTGGTGCCCCTGCCTTCATCAGCATCCTCAACTTTCCAGTCCTGCCGCCGAGAGACCTCATTAGCAAACCCTGCAAATCCCCACAGCCTTGACATCTTACCTTCCTCCAGGAGTAGCCCATCAGACAGGGAGCTGTCATCCGAAGCACTGAGCTCTGCAGCAATCAAAGAGGAGGACAGAGAAGAGAGGCAGTGAGCCCAGAGTTAAGCTGCCCACTTCCTCTGCCAGGACAGCGGCTGAATTCCCCCAGGAAATACCCACTACGTGCTAAACCATGTACTCAGAACCTATTACCTAGAGGTAAAAAGGGGTTCACAAATTAAGACATTTCAAGGCTCTGGACTACAGACTTCCCATCAGCCAACAAGGACTTTCTGGTAATATGGAGAAAGACCGAGAGCAACTTTAGAATGCTGTTAGGATGCAGAGTATTTGGCTAGGGTGTCTACAATCTTCAAATACCCCAAATGCAACTGTCTCCAGGGTCTCAGACATAAGAATTCCTGTAGTACCCACAAGAGCAGTGGGGGTGGGAGTCTGGGCTGTGGGGACTATGGGCTGTGGGGACCCTAAGAAGAGTGGCCGGCTAGTGCCCTGCGAGTCACCTGAGGGAACTGGAGCCTGGAAGCGCCATGTGAAATGCAGCTGTCACTCAGGACATGGGGTGGGGGAGGGGGAGCCCTATTTTTCTTTTGCCCCTGAACAGATGTGATGCTCTGGAGTTTGAGGCTAACTCGGAGTGGCCCAGATGGAACCCAGAAAGCATTTTCAGCTGTTTGAGAACGGAGATGAGAAAACATTAATAATAGTTAATAATTAATTACTAATTAATATTAGTAATCTACTGTGCCAATCCTTTCCTAGATATCTTGCCTGCGCTACTTCATGTAAAACCCCTAACAACTGAGGTAGATACCGTCATCTCCATGTAACTGGGGAAACCGAGTCTTAGCCCAGGCAAGGAGATTTGGGTCAATCCACCAAAAAGGCTGCCGGGGAAGAATTCACACCTGACCGGTCTAGCTAGAGGCTGGGCTCCAAGTAAGCCACATCCCTTGATTAGCTCTCCTGTCTGCCAGTATAGGTCGTTACCAGAAAGTTCTAAGCGGAACAAACAGTCTCAACCATCTTAAAATCGTTTGTTAAAAAGGCTGCTACACTTCATCCCACAGACCAAATCTGAGGTCGTACTGAGACATAGCTCCAGAGTCGTGATGTCTGGCTGCCTCAGCACCAACAAGGCAGAGTTAGTTGTGATACGGGACTGTATAACCCACAAAGTCTAAAATCTTTGTTCTCCAGGTCTTTATGGAGAAAATTGCCAATCTCTGATCTGTAACTATAGCCAAAGATAAACTCTACCTATAGCAATTCTTATCGTCTGTGGCTTTGTGGCTAGGCGGCCGAGTAGCTAGCCAAGGCTTTGCATAGCTCACAGTTAACCTTTGCTTTGGGGTGCAGTGATGAGAAGCCCTTTTGTTGAATTCTGGTTCTCCGTTTGGTGTCTTTTACAAACAACTTTAAGAGCAATTATTATTATTTTTTTTTTTTGCAAATGTCAAGTTGAAGAAATGATGCAAGTGTTATTCTCACGGCCCACTAGTGCAATATGGGTTCATCACAGGTGTTGGTCAGGGCAGAAAGGTCTGGGAAGACATCACTCCCTGTCACCTCCAATCCTCACATAAACAGGACTGTTGGTTTTGTAGGTCAAAGGATACAATGCTGTGTGGAGTTCCTGAGTCACGTGGCTTTGCAGGGTGGAAGCTGGGAGGACAAGCTGCCAAACACAGTGGCTCCTGAGATGCCCACTGTCTCCACCCTGTCCCAGTTTGGCCCTGGCTCACCCCTGTCCTGCTCCCTTACCTACCACAACTCTTCCCCCCACCCTGCAGCCATGACAGAATACCCCAGGCAGAAGTAGAACCACGAAACCATACTTACTAAGCTACACTGCCCAACAAACCAAACCAGACTACAAGACTGCGCTAACTCAAATGAAAAGTTCAGTTCCTCAGTCACACAGGGCACAATCCAAATGTCCAGGAGCTATGTGCAGCAGGCAGTCACCATGCTGGCCAGCACAATGTTTCCATCGCTGAGTCCCTATTAGATAGTGCTGACTGACACTGTCAATCAACAAGCACATCCCGAGCGCACATTGCATGAGGAGTCCAGGGGGTGGGTCTCGGCTTGCTCATAGTAAAAATTAGCTCAACGCCCGGCTGCTCCTTGCCACCTGCAGAGAACTAATTACCCTCACCTGGTTAATTACTTTCTCCAACTGAATAACCCTTGTGTGCAAAGGGGGTGGTGGGTGGGGTTTCTTTCTTTTTTTTTTTTTTTTTTTTTTTTTGGTCTGTTTGCTTATTTTTCCTTTTGAATTGAAAACACCCTCTAGCCTCAAACTAATTATTAATCTCTCTCGACTTCCTCCTTTCCAGGTGAGCACAAGGGACGGAGGAGCCACGAAACAGGTGTGGTGAGTCCAGAACTACTTCCTTCTGCGCTCCCAAATCAGGACACTAGAACCCAGAACCTCGGGCCTGTCTGGAGGGCAGGGTCTGTCTGCGCCAGAGCCAAACGCGGTGCTGCCTGTGCCAGGTGTTTCCTCTGCACACCTCCTATCTTCTCTGGGCTAAAGGCCCTGAGAACCTCAGCTGCTCGCCTCCTACAGAGGGTTAAGCCAAAGCCCTAGGCACGTCCTGGCCTGCTTCCCCACTTCCGACAAGGAGTGTCACCCAGTCTCAATGGCAGCGGTAGTGACACCATGCCCCGCACCCCAGCAAAGTCCCTCTCAGAGCAAAGGCGCCAGCCATGGCAGCACCTACAGGCAAAGGTGGAGAGGGACCAGAGGGGCTGAGACCCACCGGGACAGGGCGCATCTCATCATTAATGGCTCCTCCAAATACAGAGGTGGCCCTTGGGGATCACTACGCTTCGGTCATCTGGTATCTTTCCCATACCCAGGGCCTGTGGGAAATGGAGACCGAACAGAGTGCCCTTTTTCTTAGAGCCTTGGGAAGGGAGAGTGGTGTCCTGTACTGGGACCAGACCCACTGGAGGCCCTGGCTCCACTTCTGGGTTCTCCGTCAGCCATGACATAGAACATTGTTCTTTGCCATCTACTCCAGGTTTCCAAGGGTGACCTGGCTGGTGTCTGTTCACACACTCCGGAACTAGCCGCAGCTGCCGAAAGCAATGCCTACCCGAGGCATGGAGCGTGGGGATCAGGAAGGACCTGCAGGCTTCTAACGTGTGTCCAGTCAGGGAAGAGAACCCAGCTGATGGGTGGCGACGGACACAGGGGAGCGAGGGAGGCTATTGCTCCACATGCTCTGATTCAAGGCTACAGTGAACAGACCAGCAGCTTGTCCCTAACACCGCCTCCTTCAGATGTGGCCGGGGCCAGGCCAAGAGATTTCTGGGAGCAGGGCTGAACCAAGAGTGAAATGGAGGTTACAAATCCGGACCTGACAATCAATCCCTACAGCTGCCTAACTCGGGCTGGAGGAAAGCACACTACTGTAGAACCTTCGGTTCACTGAACTTTGTCCTGAAGGTAATATTCCAGATTGAATAAAACCCTTGGGTTATGACCAAGCAGAGAAACGCCTTCCGTCTATAAAGTTTTGTAAAAGTGGGGTACTATGAGGGAGATGCAGAAAGAGGAAATGGACGGAGAAGGTCTCTCGGGGCGGAGATGCTTTGGTGGGGTACATAGGTAAAGACAGAGCCTCCGTGGGCCCAGGAGTACTCTAATGGCGCGCTACGCGCTAATGTGAAACATGAACACAGGCAGTAGCCAAAAGCATAATGCAAAATGGAGTACAGGGCTGTGTTGTGAGAGGCCTGCACAGCTCAGGAAAGCGGGCTCACCTCTGCCCAGGGAGGGCACAGTGGTGGGAGGGGGCTCGCTGTTCCTCCGCCGATCACCCAGGCGGCGCTCAAGCTCCCTCAGTTTCTTCTCCTCTTGCAGAGCCGCATGCTTCCGCTGCCTGCGAGCCTGTCTGCTGAGGTTCTCCTCTGCACACAACCTTCGAGCCGCCTCGGTGATCTGAAGCTGCAGAGCCAACTGGCGCTCCAGGCTGCTTAGGGGGTCCTGGGGAGGGAGGGGGTTGGGAGTGAGGGCCAAGAAGAGTCCTTGGCGCTAGGGGGAAACAGAAGACTCCAGGTGGCTCTGACCCGGTGGTGTGCGGGCAGCAGTGTCCAGGAACACACAAGAAAGGGTGGAGCGGTGGGAGGGGCTCAAAGTCAACTGTCAATTATGAGAGTCCCACCCCAACTACCTGCTGTGCAAGGCTGGGAGCGGACTTAAGTGGGGCACTTTCCTTCCTGACCCCAAAGAACCTAGCATGCCAACTCATGGGAATCTAAGGGGGAGGTCACCTAAGGTCAGAGCCACCCCACCTCCTTCTACCTAGGCTGAGAAAGGCCGGACCTCAGGCTACACCAACCCCCCTTGGCAACCGCTTCTTCATGGTGGTTATTGGTATTCTTAATCCTCTGCCCACTAGGGCCAAGCCCAGTGTCTTCCCTTGAGCTCAGCTCCCCAGCTGCTGAGGTAGCATGCTTACTCAGAGCCATCTGGGCTACTCATGAGGAGAAGCCCTGAGGTTAACACGGCCAGCACCCAGACTGGATGGCAGACATTGCCAGAGCACTGGACTGCTTCGGTAGTCAGCCTCCGGGGATGGGGCACAGTGACCATGACCTGTGACACGCCTCACCTCTCTGTGCAGAGCCCACTCGTCCAGCTTGTACGCCGCTCCGATCCTACGCCGGACCTTGGGGGCCTTCTCTCCCGGCTTAAGGGGATATTCTGCTGGCAAAGTACCAGTCAGCTCCTGGGGTTGGGGGGCAGAGTCAAGTCAGGCCCTCACCACCCACCCCGCCCTCATCTAACCATTTAAACTTGCTGTCTAGTCCCACGCTGCATGGGCCAGACGTCCCAGAAACCTTAGAGATCAAGAATTTCAGAAATCAAGAGCATCTTGTGCTCTTGCCCAGCTCATCCCATCATGCCACAGTTGTCTTCTTACTCCCATTCTCGAGCACCCCGCTCTCTCCCCTTTCGCATTCTCAGCCCATCTGATCACTTCCTCCCGAAGGCTACCCTGACCCAAGGTACAATTATCAAATGTGCGTCCATCTCTCTGACCTCTCTGCAGCCCCTCATCTCTTCCTCTCCGGTACCTGAACCTCTGCCAGGTCTATTTCCCCTCTACCCAGTGTTCAGGTCAAACCCACATGAGGGAGATGCTAGGCCCAGACCCCAGTCTGATTTCCAACCCCTTCAAAAATGTGACTTTCTCCTCAGCCCCAATATCCCAAAGCGTAGCTCCAGGGGCCTCACCGCCTCCCTCAGGCAGAGCCTACGCAGTTCCTCCAAGCAGGCCTCCAGCCTCGCTTCCAGGGCCCTCTGCTGCTTGCGCACTGCATTGGTCAGCTCCTTCATTGGTGAAACAGGGCTATCTGGGCCTGTGGGAAGACAAGGGACACCTGCTCAGGACTGCGGAAGTAAGGCATCCTTAGGACACTGTTGACCACTTCCAGGAGTGCGCACTCCCCTACAGTCTCATGCTTGCCCACATATTACAAGCTAGCTGCTAAGGTCTGTGTCACAACCACAAAACATCCTATCTCCTGGCTGCCCAAAGATTTGTACCATTATAGTACAAAGGGAGAGCTGCCCCACCAGGTGACCTGTGGGGAGAAGGGGTCATGGGCAGAACTGTGTCTTCCCCTGTCTCCTGTCCTTTCTCGAAGCCAGGGAAGTCTAGACCCACAGGCTCAGGCTTAGTAGAGAGAACATTAACAGTCGTTAGATAAGAGTTTTTGGCTTCTTAGTTCATCGCTGCAGCTAAAGTTGGACACAGCAGATCCTTGCTCCAGACAGGACAGAAACTCCTGGCTAGTGCCTTCCAGCAAGGAAAACTACAGTTCCTGGAGGTGCCAGACCATCCAGTCCCCCCACTTCCCTTGCCACCTTCTCCTTCTCCAGCCCTTTGGGAGGTTTAGCTTAACTAGCCCAAGGCCTAGGGACTCAGTCTGGAGTCAGCAGCGACCAGGGCAGGGGAATTTCCTACATCACTCACCAGACTGCAGGATGATGCCACTGTCCGTGTCACTGACCTCATCCTTACTCTCCATGATGAATTTCTGGGGGGAAGGGGCACAGAGGAAGAAGGGGCTGCGCCGGTCCCAGCCTGGGCCAGGATGGGTAGGTTGCCTGGCGTTTTCCCAGCTTTTAAGAGAAAATAACAAGAACACTCTATGAAGCCGCCTGTGGTTTCAATGCTTGAGGTGGGGAAATAGAAGTGAGGATTGTGTTTCTGGAATGATCTAGGGGTGAGAGGTTTTCTGGGGTGGTAGGACACTCTTAGGGCACAGCCTAGCTCCCCCTCACTACATCTTCTCCGCAGAAAGTCCTCTAGGTCCAAAGAGGTTGGTTGAACTGGTGGCTGTACAAGAACAAGAAAAATAACAAAGAGAAGATGAAAAGGCAGGAAGATGGAACAGGATGGCAAAGGAGGGAGATGACAAGCTGTCTTTAAGAGGTATAGCCATCCTCACCTCGAGAATATAGGAGGCATGAGGCATGGCCTGCCTACTGCCCCACTGGCTAAAGGCACTGGCAAGAAACAGCTGGGCAGTGAGCACAAAGCCAAAGCCAATCTGGGACCCAAGGACCAGGGCACCTTGCTGACTGGACCTGGTCATTCACCTATAGGTCAAGGAAGCAGTTCCATGCCAGAGAGTTGTCCTGAATCCCAAGCCACCAGCATACCTAGGAGACTTCCCCAGGAGGAGTTAACCTGCGGGCTCTACACTCCACAGCTAGGCGGGAGGAGTCTATTGGATGGCTGGAAGCTGACTAGAAGTTACCAAGGACGGAAAGGAAAACACTGGCTTCTCTGCCCCCCTGTGACTAGAGAACACCTTGGTGGGCTACAGCCCAGCACGTCACTCACCCAAACACCTGTGACCTCCCCTTATCTCTTTTCCAAACCCACACCCTCGGTGGGATCCCAGCTGGCCAGGGCTGGCAGCTGTTGGCTAGAGCAGGGGTGGGGAAGGGTGGGTGGAGCCCAGGCGGAGGTCTGGAAGCAGAGGCCAGCCACCACCTCCTCACTGAGTCAGCCCATTGAGCAAGAGTCCAAAAGTCCTTCAGAGTTTCTGTCTGGACCTTATCCTGCTGCCTCCACAGAGGACAAGGGCTGCAGGGGTGGGGCACGGTGGGAGGGGGGTGCTTCGTCCCTGCCTGGCAGACAACAGAGCAAAATGGTGCTCCTTGGGAGAACGGACTGTGAAGCAGAGAGGAGGGGGTACCACTATCAGCTAAGCTCCCCAGGTCTGCTGACTGAGCCCGAAAGAGCAGAGGGATAAGGAGAGCTTTACTAGATTGTGTAAACAACACAGGTTATCTTCGCACCGTGGGCAGCAATGGTTAAAACCAAGGCCCTGAAATCGACATGTACTTTGCACTCGGGAATTTCAATCTCCCAAGCAAGTCTGGAGAATATAGGCATGAATAAAAGGAATAAAAGTTGACGTGGTGCCTTGACCGACGCACTGAAGGGACCGGCCGTGTCCTCTGGGGACTTCCAGGAAGCTAGGGCAACTGCTAGCTCATGCTGTCCGTTTGTCTCAAACCCTTACTCTTTCTAGCCCAGAGAAGCAGGCAGATGGGTCTTTCTCCCACCTCGAGGCATCTTCCCACTCATCCCAGAAGAAGACAAGCAACTAGGAAGCAGGACCAAGACTCTAGCAGGGCTGGCAGCTGGCACCTGGAGCCTTTTGCTTTGGACAGAGGGAGGGGGAAAGTGGGAGGGGAAGCCGTCAATTAGTCACACTTGCTAATTGATTATTAACCACTAAGAAGTTGCCTTGAAAGGTTGAAACACCTCAAGCCCTTCCTCTCAGGGGGGCTGTTGCAGACAAGAGAGGGGTTCGTTCGGAGACTAAGCAGACAAGAGGGGGTTCCTTTGGAGACTAAGGGATGTCTTAGCATGTCTTCTCCAGTTTCTCTCTCCTCAAGGCTCTGATATTCACCGTGGACCCAACAGGATGCAGGGTCAGCTCTGGGCTCACTTGCTGCTTTAAGGAGGGCAAAGTGCACAGGTCCAGAGATCTGGGTTCAGCACCTAGTTATGCAGCTTTGTGAGACAGCCGAGGAGGGTCTCTGGCCTCCGAAGGCCCACTTTTCCTCACGAGGATAATGAAAATCAGACAGATCTAAGGCCCTTCCCAGCCACTACGTCTGAATTAGCTTCTGGGCAATACAAGGCTGAGAATGACACCCATAGAGACACAGCACAGCTCTCCACTGCGAGGAACCTTCCCCAGAATTCACAGGGGCAGCACAGGCCCCACCCAGCAGAGCTTGGGCCTAGGCAAGGAAGGCCTTGCTTTAGAAAAAGGCAGTTAAGGTAACAATCCCACCCCCAACTCAGGAGTCTCTCTGCCCCCCTGACCCTCCCAGCCAGCCCAGAAGAAGACGCCTGCTACCCCAGACAAAGCCAGAGGGAGAAAGATTGATTCAGAAGGAGAGCGAAGCTCCTGCACACTTTCTCTCAGGGAAGCCACTGGGGACCTCCACATCACAAATGTGTCCCCAAAGCCGATCCCCTCTGTCCCAGCTCATCTTTGTTGGAAATTTAGGCCTGCTCACAGAGACAGGGTCCCTGTTCCCAAACCCACTAGCAAACCTTTTTCTTCTGAACCCAAATGTGACCTTCGGTGTAGGGGAATGATAGCCATGTCTGACCAGGGCTCCCTCTATTTCCTGGTCTGCCTACAGCTCAAACCCAAAGACTGGCCTCACCCCTGCCCCACCCCCACTCTCACCTGCTCCAGAGCTCAGTTCAGATCAGGAAAGACTTCTGATCAGGGGTTTGAGGTGCCTCTTGTGCCACCTCGGGGTCTCCCAGGTCACAAGCAGGCCACCTGGTGCTCTGGCTTCCAGCAAGCTCTCCACACGCTGAGGGCCCTGCCTCTCCCTCTCAGCGGGTCCCGCCTGCCTGCTGTCCCTCCCAGGCAGCCGGGCCAGGGGAACCAGGTTACTTGTTACGACTTGAGTCAGAGGGGAGGAGCAGGTGAGCAAGTCCTTCCCTGAACTAATCCGGCTGCTGGCAGTCGTCGGCAGGCAGCTCCTAGGCCTCTGCACTTCCGGGCCGAGGGGAGCAGGGAAAAAGGGGTTCCCCATGAAAGACAGCCAGAAGGCAGCAGAATCAGGTTTCCACAGCCACAAAGAACCCAAACACAGTGTGCTGAGCTATGAAACACTTCAGTGCTCTTCTGTCTTGCATGGTTCTGGCCTCCCGTGTACCCCACTTTCTCTTTCTAGAAATCGAAGAATGTTAGCCCCCCCCCCAAAAAAAACAAGTAAAAAATTCACTGGATGCAGAGAGCATCATCAGAAAATCCACAGACACAGGGGGTCACCGCTTTCCCTAACACAGCCTCAGTTTTCCCAGATTAGGATTTAAAAGCCTCAAACCTCGGGCTGAGTTGGGGATTGTGTCAGGCACCTGTAGCAACTTGCAGTCACAACCCAACTACTTGTGATCCGAGGCAGGAGGATCACATGAGCCCATAGACTGAGGACCAGCCTGGGTAAACAGAACAAGGTATGATATTTAAAAAAAAAAAAAAAATAGAGGAGGAAGGGGAGGAAGAAGAAAAGACGGCTGTGGTGAATGTATGGAAGGCATGGGTAGAGTACAAGTTTAAAACCCAGCACCTAAAAAAGAAACAAAAGCAAATGGACAAGAAAAACAGGACAGGATTGCTCCTGCAGACTCTAGGGTGCTAGAGGTGGGGGACCACGCTGTTTCCTTTTTATTCCAGCAGCATCAAGAGCATCACATCCCATGTGTAACCGACACCCACCCCAGCAATCCTCTGTGGGGCACTGACCAACAGTCTAGCCATCACTTACTCCACAGGAGAGCAGCAATCTTTAGCCTGTTCTCCAAACGCGGGGAACCAGTCACTACCCTGGAACTTGGTCCCTGCCAAAAGTTGGCTTCCAGGCCTCTCAGTCCACCGACCCTCAAGCAAAAGCAAACTTTCTTAGTATACAAGACCTGAGGCTGACAGCGGCCTCTTCCCAGAGGCTACAGATACACTGCAGATTGACTGCATCGCTCAAGCCTTTGTCCCATCAATTCCCATCCTCCACCTCTGCCACCTAGGAACTCAATACGGACCTTCCTTCTCCTAGTCCCTAAGGGACCCGGTCCTCACTCTCCACGCCCTAGCACCTAAACATCAGAGAAGCTGGCTGTTAAGCATCTCCTGAACAGAGCTGGGTCACAGTCTGCCACCACCCTTCTCTACAACCCCATTCCTTCTAGACATAACCCCCCTCCCATACCTTCACATTCCTGTACACGCCCTCTTTCCAAACAGCGCTAGCCCTGGACTCCTACAGGCTGACCACCTCCTCCACTCCCCAAACAGAGGCCAAGGGGCCCTCACAGGGGACAGACCCTCCCCACCGTGGGGAGCATGCTCTCTGAACCTCCTTCCCACCCCCCTAAGTCCTCCACAATACTGCAGTCTACCCATCCCCCAACAGGTTTACACGCTTGTCCAGTGTCTGCGAGGGGTTGACCCTGGGCTGGAACTGTCTTGGCCCATCCCCCCCCCAGCTCCAACTGGGGACAGTGGTGGAGTTTCTAGAATCAATTCTGCTTAATTTTCTTAATGTTTAAAATAAAGAGATCAGTTATGAAGCCCAATTACAATGAAGTGCAGTTCGGAAACCACAAAAACGTAACAACATGTATACTTCATTATTAACATTAAACAAGACCCAGCAACAGGTCATTTCAAGCAACCGATGAATGAAGCTATTTACATATAACTTCAGTGCACGAGGAAACCGACCTCACAGGAAAGCCAGTTACGGACGCTGCCCCTGCAGCCTGAGGTGTCAGGTTTGAACCCAGCTAAGAACTACGGCCTCAGGTAATGCCATCTGAATTCAAGGGCAAAATTCAAAATCGGGTTAAGGCCTGTACACACCGGGACATAAATTCCTTAAGCTGTCTTCCAGGAAAAGCCTCCAGGCTTCACCAATGATTCCCGCTGCTTGAAACCCGCTTTTCAAGAATGGACTTGAGCAGAAGAAGCCAGGCCAGCAACATCACAAACTCAAACCCCCTCAAGCAGAACCTGTCCCCCGACCAAAGAAATATGCAACCTGCAGAGAGGCAAGCCCCGAAACCAACCATCAGCGTCCTCCCTCTTCAGCACCCACTAATCGCGTAGGAAGAGTTTCACTCACTGCTCCCAGCCTCCTTGCAAGTCAGCTGTGCAACGGAGCTTTTCCTTTTCCTTTTATTGCAGAAACCCAGGGCTGTAGTACAGACTTCTATTGAAGATGGGTAGTAGGCCCCTGCTCAGTAACGTGTCTCAGACCAACCTGCTTGTGTTCATCCTTGATTTTTAACTACTCCAAATCCACCATTCCCCAACGCAACAGAATATAAGGTTTGCAGTGCAGCTGACAAACCAATAGCCCTCCTGCCAAGGAGGGGGTTAGGAGGGGGCCACAGCAAGGATAGGTGGACACTCCGGAGGTAGCTTAGAACTTGGAACTCGGAGCCCCATTCTAGGAACCAGGAAGCTGACGCTTCTGATCGCTAGTTCCAGGGCACTGACAACAAGAAAGACCACCGACAGGCGAGGAAGCGAGGACTCCTTGGGCTCCTTGCACAGCCCTGGAATGTGACCTCGGTGACTTCGCGGGAAAGCCTCCTCTTCAAAACCTTTCGTGACCAAACCCTTCTACAGACCTGTAACCAACCATACGCCCCTCGCAGCCCCAAAGTTCCTTCTTTAGATTTCTGTGATCGCTAGGAGTCAAAGTTTTTAAAACCCCGTCCTCCATCCTTAGCACCTCCACATTCTCAAAGGCGCCCAGCCAAGTACAGGCACCAGCAGTCCCCTAACTTTACTTAATGAATTAACAGATCAATGGCCAGCCACAGGAGCTCACAACCAGGAAAAGACGGGAAATTGTCTGGGACTCTTAGGGCAAGAGGGATGGAAGACCAACCCCCGTTACTGTTTTCTTTCTCCATTCTTCTGACCACTGGGAAAGGTGTTCACCTCCAACTAAGGCAGGGAAAGGAACTCGGGCCAGCCGGGGATGCACCCTGAAATCAATCCTCTAGGCTCTCCGTAAAAAGCCCCTTTGTCCTGCCCCCCCAGCCCCTCCCCCACCGCGCCCTCCCCTTCCAGGCCGGCCTGGAACTTGGGCTCCTTTTGTTTGCCTGCCTTCTGGCTTGCCGGAACCTGGCCAGGAGATCCACCGGCCTGGGGAGAGGGTCGAAGGAGAAAGGTTGAGCCGTTGGAAACGGCTTTGGGGTGGGAATTCTCGACCTCTTGGTAAAATTACCCCCGTTCCCTGCAAGACCCCCTCTACTGAGGATGAAGATCGGGGTTCAGGACTCGATCTCCCCCAGTTCTCCCGCGTCCGGTTCACTAAGTTTCCGCCTTACCTGTCCCACCGAGTTCTGGCTCCCCGCGCCTGCCCCCGCGCCCCCCGCGCCCTCCGCACAGCTTCAGGACCTGTTGGTCCCGCCCATCTTCCCTCTCCCCAAGGCTCCCCCGGGCCTCCCCTCCCCGGAGGTATTTCATTTAACTTCGGCATTTGCAGCATCCCAAATGTTAAAGATCCCAAGACATCTGTCCCCTGGGGCATACCAAAGGCCCAGCGGAGAGAGGGGAAGATGCTAGAAAGGGATTTGAGATTCTGATCCAAGAGACGGGGCGGGGCGTCACGTTGAGATGGGACAGTGCCAGCCCGGGTGTGCATCCTGCGGGAGCAACAGCGCAAGGGGCGACGCTGCCCCCTACCTCCCGCATTCGGGCGGCCACATGGCCGGACACCCCCCGACTAGGCAGGTTTCCGAAATCCGGGCGGGACGAGGCTCGACTAGAGGTCTTAAGGCCGCCTTTCATCCCCTCGCTCTGGCCCGGCTGGGGGCAGTTTTCATTCCTGAGACCCCAGAGTGGAAGAATGAAAGGAGACAGCAGCCCCTCCCCCTCCTTGCCGATTCCTTCTCGTGGCCCGGACTGCGGCGCGATCGAACTGGGGTCTCCTCCCCTCTTGCGGCCCCAGCCGAGTCCCTTCAGGGGTGGCGGGCAGAACGCGCCGGCTGCGGCGAGGCAAGGCACACACTCCTGGGCAGCGCCTCCTGCTGCTGCTGCTGCGAGCCCGCGAAACCATCCATTCATTCACTTAGACTTGCTCTTTCCCTCTTTTCGTTGATTCTATTTACACGTGTGCAGCCCTTTGCCAGGGCCAAGCTAAGTTCAGACTTCATCACCAGAGGGTTGTTCAGACTAGAGCATAATTTTGAAGACCAAGGAAAGCGGAGGCCAACGCAGGCTGAGGGTCCCCAAAGCTTGGTCAGAAGGAGTGTGCTACGACGGGAAACCTTGACAGGAAGGATGTACAAGATGTATTGGGCAAAGAAATACACCAGGTCCTAGGAGCTGTAGGGAAATTAGGATAGGGGAAGAGGGATGAGGCTGCGACAAGCAGGGACCCGTCCTGGAGCATGGCAGTTCTGTGTGGCTGTCTAAAAATACTCACCCAAGCTCCAGTTGATTATCTGAATGCTCGTTTGGAACCTGCGCTTTTTCTTAACGTGTAGTTGCCTTTTTTCTAATGAGTATATAAGCTAAGCTGACTGAAGAAACTGAAGAGTAACTACAAGTCAGTATAACCCAGAAGGGGTGGGAGTGGAGAAGCCATGCGCATGTGAACTCTGACAAGTGCAGAATCCACAGGGCATGACACAAACCCATTGAGTGAGCCTGCCTACCCATGGGGGAAATCTGCTCTACTCATAATCCACTGATTTAAATGGACTCATCAAAGAAAATGTTATTCTCATCAAAGAAAAACAAAAACAAAAAAAACCTCTCAACCTCTCATCACAACAACCCAAAATAATGTTTGACCCCTTATCCTGTGTTCTGTAGACTAACCAAGATGATAAAAATCTTCCCTTTCTCGAAGGCCACAGATCTAGGAGGTCCTGTGAACAAGGCAGCTCCACCATAATCAGGTGACTTTGAGTAAGCCTGCGTGGGGAGCAGAGAGCCTGGCAATAAGGAAATCTAGGAAGGCAGTGATGTCACTCTGAAACATTCAGTTCTGCAGGGAAGTAGAAAGGTAAACAAATCAAAATAGCTCCAGGAAGTCCCTAAAACTGACTAGATTCCCTAGGCCCCTGCACACCAGAGTAAGCAATAAAAGCTGAGAGTCCCTCTCAGACTGAAGGAAGCCAAGCTGCAAAGAAAGAGCGTTCTCAGACAAGCAAAGCTGCAAGACTCAGAGACCAGACCAGTAGCCTGGAAGAATCAGAAACCAGCTAAGCTGATGGAAGAGGTTTAGATCAACTGAGGCACCTAGAAAGGACATTCTGCAACCTGTTGAGTGGCCTGCAGGATGTTCAGTATGTGTCAGGTCCTGTAAGTAACCCCTGACCTCTACTCCTGTAAATAATCCCAATAAAGCTCATTGTTTCACCAGGTTGGATGTTGGTGGTATCCTTACTTTGGGCTGTCATGGGCTCCCTGTCTGGGACAAATAGATGTGGGTTTCATCTTCCCAGGAAAAGCTTGTCCCACAGCTTCTCTACAGGGAGCTAGGATCTAAGCCTAGGTCCTGGCAGTGAGGGTGGGGGTGGGTGAGTCAAGAGCTCTGCAGGCAGTGGACCCAGCCTAGGTTGGTAACTGACTTCAGTGGACAATGGGAAGGAAAGAGGGCTAGGAATTCCCAGGTTCCTACCTTGAAAGCTCGATTTAAGCTGCATTTACTTTAGAATAATAATGATACTGCCCTGTCTATCCAGTCTGCCTGGAGCTCTAAGGTTCAAGAAAAGTTGGAGAAAATGGTTTGGGAACCCTTACCAAGATGGTCTGAGAAAATTGTATGAAATGGGAAAAGACCCAAGAGAAGAAATGTTGGGAACTCTTAGAGCTGGACAGAGGATACCTTTGGAGGTGCCATTATTATTCATGGTTGTTAATACTGATGGCCAGCTTGACAAGATCTAGACTCACCAGGGGATTTCTAGACTGGGTTAACTGAGGTAGAAAGTTATGCCTTAAATGTAGGTGTATTCAAATAAAAAAGAGAGAGCTAGGTGAGCACCAACCCTAGTTGCTTTCTGCTTCCTGGACGTGGATGCAATGTGACCAAGCACCTCACGTCTCTGCTGCCCCATCTTCCTCATGAGAAGGGACTGTAACCCTCCAACTCTTAGCCAAAATAAATGCTTCCTTCTTGCTTCTTCAGGGATGCTGTCACAAGAGCTAGAAAAATAAGATACGGAAAACTGGGACCAAGAAGTGGGGACCATGGCTGTGATCAGCCAGACCATGTGACTCGGAGGCTTTTAAAACTGGTTTTTGGTGGAATGTGGAAGAGTTTGCAGCTGTGAACTCCAGAATGGGAAGGAGGAGGATGCTGTAAATAGAGTTGAATGGACCATGCTGGTGAGAGCTTAGAAGGCCAGAATAGTGAAAGAACTAACAGTGGGGGCCCAACTCATAAGGTTTCCTAGAGGAGCAAGGACTCTATCAGGAATAAGGCTCCAGGCCATTGGAGTTGTAGTCTGGCAAAGAATCTGGCTTCTTCTGCCCGTGCCTTGAGTACTCGAATGAGGCCAAATTGAGAAGTAACAAGCTAATTAGCTTGATGGGAGAATTGTCAAGACAAGATCATGCATTCTGGCTGTGGCCTGCTCCTACACAGGCTGCTCCCTGCTCTTGTTCAGATCTACAGCGAGGAAGAGCGGAAAGAAGAAAAAGGTAAAAGTTGCAAAAGAACTTGTGTACAAGTTAAAAGTCATCAACAAAGAGCGCGAGAAAGCAGCAGCAATTGCTAATGGGATCAGTACCATTAAAACCACATCTACCAAGTGCAGTACTGCATACCTTTAATCTCAGCACTCCCTAAGCAGAGGCAGGTGGATCTCTGTGAGTCCCACAGCCAGCCAGGGGTGCAAAACGGACCTTGTTTCAAAAAATAAACAGCAGAATAACTTACTCCACCATGTTGAGATAACAGGAACAGTTTTCAAGGGGGAAGACCCCACACACTGAAGGCCCTAACTTGTGAAAATGTGCAAAAGAGAGAGAGCTTGTCCTGAGAATACCACCTAAGGGTTTACTCTCTCAAAGCAGTTTGCCCAGGAAAGTGTCACACACAGAGGTCATTGTTTTTTGGGTTTTTGTTGTTGTTGTTTGTTTGTTTGTTGTATTTTTAAGAGAAGTCCAGGCTGCTTCCCACGCTGGCAGCAGAACTTGGCAGCTTTATAAAATACTGAATTAGCAAGCATGAAAGATGCAAGAACCGGGGAGGAAAGTCTTAGAGGTTTGCATGAGGTCCCTAAAATCCAGGCAGGCCAGGCAGTGTATAGAGGGGTCAGAGTCCCTGCAAGGAGGACTCCAGACATCCTTGCATGCAGCCGTGAAAGGGAAGCCTAAGCCACGTACAGTGGAGCCCTTAGGATGTTGGAGATGCTAAGACCACAGGAAGTCTGCTAAGAAGTAGAGCAAGCCCAAGAGAGAGTGTGTGTGCTACAGGCAGAAGAAATGGAAAAGCAGGGCTACCCAAGATTCTCTCAAAAACCCCAGATGCCAGACTTGTTGCTACAGGACTTGGTATTTTCCCTGCTGGGGTTTGGTCTTTCTTTGGTCCCATCGTTTCTTCCTATGCCCCCATCCTTCCTGGGTGAATATTTACTCCATACAATTATGTATTGGAAGTATATAATTTATTTCCTAGAATCTCAGAAAAGACTTGGACTTTTAAACCATGTTGGAACTGCTAGAGACTATGAGGACTTTTGAAGTTAAACTAAGCACACTTTTCATTATGATATGGCCCTGAACCTATCCCCATAGGAGTAGAACGTTACGGTTTTAAGATGATATGTCTATGTCAAGTTGACAAGGGGTAGATTTGTGATAGTTAACACTATCAAGTGACAGGATCTAAAATCAGCCATGAGAAAAACCTTTGGGGATGTCTGTAAGGGAGTTTCTAGATTAGGAAGACATACCCTAAATATGGGTGGCAGTATTCTGTGATCTGGGGGTCTTAGGCTGAACCTAAAATGAGAAAAGCAAACACCCATATTTCTGAGCTTCTTTACTGTGGATGCACTGTGGCCAGCTGCTTCAAACTCCTGCCACTGTGTCTTCTTACTGTGACAGACAGTGTCCTCAAACCATAAGCCAACAGACCCTTCCTACAGTAGCCTTTGTCAAGGGACAAGACAAGTGACCAATACTCAGCTACCAACAGAATAGGGAGATTTGTAAAACACGGATCTATAACCCCAGCCCTGGCCCCACCACATGCTCACCAATGCCTTTCCTCTGGATGAGAAGTAGAATCTTCCCGAATGTTCCAACTCTGGGCTCACTTAGCAAATGCCAGTGCAGAGACGGGCTTTGCGGGTCAGGAAGGTGATAAGACAGAGACTGGGAAGGAAACTTGTGTGTGTCCTGGGCACACCAAGGTATATCCTTGGGAAATGACAGAACCACAGCCAGGACAGGAGCTGGAGCCTTGGGCCCAGATTTCCTGCTTTGATAGATTCTATACCCCATGTGTCTAGGAAGCAGGATCCGTCAGTCTACAAGAGACTCAAGAGCCTAGAGCAGTGAAAATGAGGCTCCCTAACATGCCAGCCTTCCCAAAGCCTTCAGCTTCTACTTAAGAAAAGGGTTTTTGAGGAGGTTTGTTGTTGTTTGTTTTTTGCTGCCTACGTCAAAATCAAAGCAATTAGTGTGCGCTGTAGTATGAATAAGGCTCCCCAAAGTTCAAGTGCTGCAAAGCTAATATCCTCGTTCGTAAATTGATGGCTTTGAAGCTGGAGTCTTAGGTAGTAACCCAGCTTAGATCATTAGGTCAGGATTAGGTCATGAAGGTGGGGCCCTAGGTGTGGTAAATGCCGGCTTTGGAGCCTGGAGAGCCCCTAGATAGCCTGCCTGCTCTATCTCATGCCCCTGCCATGCTGTGCCAGGAGGAGGAGCCCTTGCCAGACAGCAGCACTGTGCTCTTGGACTTCTGAGCCTCCAGAAATAGCCCTGGATTTTAAAGTGTTTTTGTTGTTGTTTGTTTGTTGATTTTTTATTTTGTACATGATCTCATGATATAGTCCTGGCTGGCATAGAACTTGTTATGTAGACAGCCTGCCTTCCAATTTACGGAGATCTGTCTGCCTCCTGAGGGATTAAAGTTGTGTGATACCACAGCCAGCAGAACTCAGTTGGGTTTTTTTGTTTTGTTTTTTGGGTTTTGGGGGTTGTTTTAAATATATATATATAATTACCCAGTCTCAGATACTTAGGTATAGCAGCCAAAGATGGTTTAAATATGTTAGTCCTCTTCTCCATACTGGGACAAAAATGCCTGTCAGACGCAGCTTATGGAGAGAAGGGATATTTGGGCTCACAGTCTAAGGCAAGAGAGTCTGTTGTAGTGGTAGGACCAAAGATGTTTGTTTCTATGGTGATCCTTAACCTCATCAGCTTGACAGTTGAGGTCATGCCTCATGGTGGTCTGTGTTGTAAACCTGGGTTTGTAGGACGCTGTTTGTTTGGCTATTGTTACTTGCATTTGACAGATAAGGAAGCCAAGGCCCAGAAGCACTCAATTAAGTTGGCTTAGAATGTGAAGACAGAGCCTGTGTGGTCACAGCCCTGCGCTTGTTGAAAAACTTTAGGTGCCAAAGGGACTGAAAAGTTAAGGAATAAAATACGTCAGGTGTAAGACTTCTGGTCCTCAAACATCGGAGTATTTTGTTTAGGGTCCTGCAGCTCCTGCAACTCATCCTTAGTTTTGGTTTGAATTGGGGAAGGGAGATGAGGTGAACCCTAGGTGAGCCTGAAAGAAGATGGGAACTCAGTAGGACAAATTAGAAAACGCAGGGTATCTTAAAGGGCCCTCACCACAACTGTCATCACAAGAAAGTGCATCCGTTTTGTGAAAAAAAAAAATGACACGACATATTTAATCATTTTGCTAAAAACTCAAGCAGTTGCTGGGTGGTGGTGGAGCATTCCTTTAATCCCAGCCAGAGCTTTGGAGGCAGAGGCAGGTGGGTCTCTGAATTCGAGCCTGGTCTAAAAAGCGAGTTCCCAGGACACAGAGAAATCCTGCCTCAAAAACCAAACAAACAAAAAACCTCAAGCCGTTGAATAAATGTAAATCTTAGGCGGTGCTGCTGTCTCACAGCAGACGCCTCTGGAGCCCAGCATACTGGAACTGAGTATGCGCAAAAACCAGGGCTGGCGAGACGGGAATTCCGGCCCAGAAATCCAAGCCCTGATCAGCTGGCGGTGGATGGAAGCTGTCGATGGAGAGAGTCAGCTAAACTCCGTCTATTTTCTCTTTTTTTCTGCACTGGCTGAAGAGGCAAAGGCCCTCTTTTAGCAGGAGATCAGAAACTGACTTCTTGCACACGAAGAAGAACCAGGCAGAACAAGATCCCCCAGCCCTCTGAAAGCTACCTGGAAGCTGTCTGTACCCCAGCAGCCTCCTTCAGAGGGACAGTCCCCAGGTGCTTCCTGCCCTGAATTTTAGATGCTTCTCTGCCTGTCCTTCCAACTTCAGGCCTGGCAGAGGAGAGAGCTCACCCACATAGCCTCCTCCTGGCCCCTAAGAATCTGGTGAGGGAATGGGAGACAACGGTTAGCCGTCCAGACACTGTTCTATCAATGCCTTGGCAAGCAGCTCTCTGGAAACCCCAGAACGACTGAGCCAAGACCCGCTTCCTCTCCTGACCACTTCCTGCAAACTGGGGCAGCGCCAGCAGGCACTACCTGGAGCCTTCTGCAGCTATGGCTAGAACTCTTGATGTCCAGGCTGGTCTCTGGGAGAGCGGGTAGCTCCCTGAACTGCACAGGATTGACTTAGGAGGACAAGTCAGGAGCTTCCCTTCTCTGCCGAAGGGAAGAGACGCGAAAAGGGGCCCAGGACACCGAAGAGTGCTGAAGACAGGACAGGCCAAGCCCTGGAGTCTTAACCTAGACTTGCCTGAGACAGGCCACTCCCCCGGGACACACCATCAGTTCTGGTCTAGTTTCTAGATTTTTCTGAGTTCTCCCCAGAGCTCCCACCATCTTTCCTCTCTTTTAATGTCCTTCACCTTTTCTGTTTCCATCTTTGCCTTTCTCTCCAGCCCTCTGTCCTGGCTCTCTGAGCTTCTGTGGACTTGGGAGGCCACGGGCAGGTGCCCTTGGGGCTCCCTGGGGATCACTGATCACTGACCTGCTTCCTTCTGTCCCAGGTGAGGCCATCAGGGGGTGGGAGTTGCCACAATTGTCCTGGTCACAAACGGCCTGGATCAGTGATCTTCTGTGTCTAAAACAGTCCCAGGGCAGAAGTGATGGGGAGAGGGCTGATCTCCCTCAGCACGGGGTGCTCCCTCACATCCTGTGTCCACACTAGTAGGAACTTGGATCACTCCTCTCAGGATGGCAAACCTGTTCCTTCTCTTGCTGTGAGCCCAAGCTCCCAACTTCCATCCCCTTGGGGACCACCTACCACTAAGTCCTTACTTTTGGAGGCCCCAAGACAACTTGGAACTTTAAGGTAAGAGTAAATTGTGAATTGGTTTTTTTGGGGGTCTGGGGTTTATTTTTGTTGTTATTGTTTTTCTTTTTCTTTTTTTATTTTTTTTTTTTCCTTTTGGTTTTTCGAGACAGGGTTTCTCTGTAGCTTTGGAGCCTGTCCTGGAACTAGTTCTTGTAGACNACCAAGAGGAAAAGAAGCGTGGTAGTAAAAGGTACTGTTCTGGACAGACTGGGCCACAGGATACCCTAGGCTGGGTCTTTTTTTTTTTTTTTTTTTTTTTTGGTTTTTCGAGACAGGGTTTCTCTGTAGCTTTGGAGCCTGTCCTGGAACTAGTTCTTGTAGACCAGGCTGGCCTCAAACTCACAGAGATCCTCCTGCCTCTGCCTCCCGAGTGCTGGGATTAAAGGCGTGCGCCACCACCGCCTGGCCTGTTTTTCTTTCGTAAGATAAAATTAAGTACAGCGGTGGAAAGACAGACGTTCATCCGGGGCCGTGGGGGGCTGCATCCAAGACAGGCCACCCGGACCTCAGACATTCTGCTCCAAGCCTTCCACGGGCCCCCCTGGAAAGGTCTTCCTGGTTCCTCAGGAAAGCATTGCTGGGAGTCAGCCGCAGTGGGGTCTAGAGACCCGTTGGTCCAGTCCTGTCTCTTTCCTCCCAGGCAGTGGGTGAGATAAGAGTTCATCTCCAGGCCAGGGGACAAGTCCAGGAACTTAGGGACTGCCAGGACTGCAGCCTGATGACTGGCCCTTGTGAGGTGTGGTGTGTGTGCCTGAGTGACGGTCCTTATGCTCACCAGGGACTTGCTCTGTTGCTTTCAAGAAATGGAACATAGCACATTTAGCTTAGGCCCTGGAGGATTTTTATGTATGACTCATGACAGGGGCTGAAAGAGTGACTGGCTGCCATCAGGTCACTCTGGTGACTTTCCCTAAGGGGCAACTCTCTGGAACTTGCTTATCTTGCCAATCAAATGCTTCCAGATTAAGAATTTAGTGCTTGCCTCTTCCTCCTGAGCAGTTTGGTGCCAGGCTGCTGAACTTCATAGTGAGTGACTCTATTGTTCTGGTCTCCTGGGCCCAGTGTGGGGCTCAGCCCAGACAATAACCTTTCTAATAGTTTGCTTATTTAGCATCACTAAGAACAATTAAATTCAAAAGATCTGAGATGGCAAATGCCTCCTAAGGTAGTGCCTGAGACAGTTAGGCACTGACCTTTTATTTTATTTTTTTTATTCTTGGTTGTTTTTTTTTTTTTTTTTTTTTTTTTTTTTTTTTTTTTTTTTTTTGTAGCTTTGGTTCCTGTCCCGGAACTAGCTTCTGTAGACCAGGCTGGCCTCGAACTCACAGAGATCCATCTGCCTCTGTCTCCAGAGTGCTGAGATAAAAGGTGTGCACCACTACCATCCGGCTTCTGGCTTTTTATGATGTTAAGTGGCTCAGGTAGGTAATTTAGGAGGCAGAATAGACGTGTGTGCTTGGAACTGGGTGTGTAGCCCAGTGGTGGAGCACCTGCCTAGCTTGTAGAAGTTCCTCGGTTTCTTCCTTCAGAAAGTAGGTGTGTTGGGCCCCTCACCCCATGGTGTGACAGTGAACCCGTGCAGATAAAGCACTGTTCGGTATTATCCTTTGCCCATAGAAACATCCAATTAGTGGCAGCGATTTTCAAAGGGATGTTTTCTTACATTTTCAGTCTAAAAAATACCCCATTTTCTTCTTCCTCACTCACTTCTAACCCTCAGGATAACACTGCTTAGATTCCTGCGTGGTTATATTTTTGAAGATCCAGACCTGTTTGCCAGTAACCATTCTCCACTTCTTGTGGCTTAGTGACTAGCTGCCTGAAAGAGCCAGATTCCTCCAGTGTCGAGGCTGAACAGAGCTGCGGCTGCGTCCATGAGAGACAAATTAATACCTCACATCCTTGACTGCTCTTGAGATATCTTAAGCCCAATGAGAAAAGAGGAAGGAGGGTGTTCACTGAGGTCAGATGATAGCTGTGTACTTAGTGGAAGTGGGCCATGTGTGGCTTCCTCCTGCCTCGGTCTGACCCCAGCTGGTACCCATCCCCAGTCTGAGTTCACTTAAGTCAAGGCATTGTGTCTCTGTGTTCACAGCCACAGGTCCTGGAGTTCTAGTGGGAAGCTGCTGGTGGAGGGATGGGGCGCAGTGGGGAAACACCAGTCTGGCTAATGGATTCCCCTTTACTTACCATGTAGACTTAGAAATATATATATATTAAGACAGGGTTTCTCTGTATAACAATTCTGTCTGTCTTGGAACTTGCTCTGTAGACCAGGTTGGCCTCGGAGCCACAGAGATCCATCTGCCTCTGCTTCCTGAGTACTGGGATTAAAGGTGTGCACAACCACACTAAGAAAATCTTTTTTGATTTTTGGTAGCTCAGGTTGGCCTCAAACTTGCTGTGCAGAGGATGACGACCTTGAACTTCTGCTCTTCCTGCCTCTACCTCCCAAGTGAGCCATCGTGCCTGGTCTTTGTGGTACTGGGACTCAGACAGGGCTTTGTGCACATTAGACAAGTGCGGTGCCAAGCTCAACTACATCCCTAGCTCTAAATTTAGTCATTGTTAGTTCGTCCCTTTGTCCCTGTAACTTTTGTTGATGCTTTTTTTTTAATTAAAAAATATTTTAGAAAAGCAATAAGCTAAATAAGTGTCTGGAGAAGAAGCATGGGTGGGTTTGCAATCTTTGAGGTTCTGATCCAAGAAGACTCCTGACCTCTGACCTGTAGCAGTGTTGGGACAGAAGGCAGCAGACACTGAGATTGTATGGCACTTTAGTGGCGATGTCACTGTGGGGAAGGACCTCTCATCTTGGGGTTCTTTCTGAGCTCTGGAAGGTAATCTTTTAAAATATAAATTTCATTTTAGCTTACATACATGTGCCTTGTACCTGTGGGGGCCAGAAGAGGCCATCAGCTCTGCTGGCACTAGAGTTACAGATGGTCGTGAGCTGCCTGCCATGTGGATGCTGGCAATTGAACCCCAGTCCTCTGCAAAGAGTGTGAGTGCTCTCTCTCTCTCTCTCTCTCTCTCTCTCTCTCTCTCTCTCACACACACACACACACACACACACACACACATATATAATTTACTGTTCCTTATTGAGCTATACATTTTCCCCCACTTCCCTTGTTTCCTCCCCTCTCCCCTTCCACTCTCCTCTGCCCCTGATGCTCCCAATTTACCCAGGAGGTCTTGTCCTTTTCTCCTTCCTAGGCGAATCCATGTTTGTCTCTCTTAGGGTCTTCGTTGTCTAGGTTCTCTGGCGTTCTGGACTGTAGGCTGGTTATTCTTTACTTTATGTCTAAAAGCCACTTATGAGTGAGTACATATTATATTTGTCTTTCTGGGTCTGGGCAGTGTGAGTGCTCCTATCTGCTGAGTGATCTCTCTAGCCTCTGGAAGGAAATTTTGAGCCCAGGAAGACAAAGTGTCCTTGGTATACTCCAAGGCTTCTACCCAGGGACACACTGACCAGTCACACTCTAGAAACCCAGGAAACACAAAGTTGCAGTACAGATTCATCACGTAAGTTTTAGCTTTAGTGGGAATTTATTTATTTTTTACCCCAAGCTAAGGGCCAGCGGGCTTTTATTTTCCTCTTTTATACCCCTAACTCCACATTTCTGTCTTTTTGTGAACAGGATGGAGACTTAAATTATCAACCTTGTTTTGTAGAGTTGGGAGTCTGTGTCACTGCAGGAGCCCCATGGCCTTGCTTACTGGAACACGGAATTACAAAATAAGAGTTTCATTCACTCGGTGAATTTGAGAGGCACTATCCAGGACCACAGCAGTATCCAGTGCCACTTAGCAAATATCCTGTTGTTTACTACTGGTAATTACAACACATGCAATGCTTCCTATGTTCAGGCTAATCCTGAACTCTCCACATAGCAACACAGTTAACCCGTCATCCACCCTATAAGAGAGCCGGATTAGCCCTGATTTCCAGATGGGGATTGTGACCCGGAAGAGAGTGGCTAACGTAGCCAAAGCCACAGGGACTGAGATGCGGAGCTGGGGCTGACACCCAGGCAGAGGCAGCAGAAGTTGTGAGCATCACCCCTGCTTTCTTTAGCACACTGTGCCGCTTGTCAGCGTGCTTTTGTGATGTGTTTCCGCCAGTCCCTGCTGCTGAGAGTGCTGTCTTCTGGGTGATACTGTGACAAAGGGGACGAGCCCAGGCAAGGGGTGAGCAGCAGGTGTCTGTTCTCTTTGACACAAGTGTCCCAGTCAAGTCCCCAACTGGAGGGGAAAGTCATCCATGGCTGCATGGTAATAAGAGCAAAATCTCCTGAGCAGAAAAGGAGGACGGTTAGTCCACAATGGCCTCCCCACAGAACGAAGCTCTCAGGGTGACGGGGCCTGAAATCTATATTGAGATACAGCAAAAAACGTAGCGTGCAGTGAGAAGGAAAAGGCTGAACGCTGTCGGGACTGGAAAGGTCGCTCAGAGGTTGAGGACAGTTTCTGCTCTAGCAGGGGAACTGGGTTCAAATCTCAACACACACACACACACACACACACACACACACCACCTGTGACTCCAGGGCTGGGGGATCCGACGTCCTCTTCTGACCTCCTCAAGCAGCAAACACACAGGTGGCGTGCGCACACGTGCAGGCAAAGCACCATATAAACTAAGACATCTAAAAGGAAAAAGCCGAACACCACGTGAGTACAGTGTCACCACATGCACGTGACCCCACTCGAGGAGGTTTTGAAAGATGTGCAGATGGGAAAGTTCTTCAGGCAGAGCAGAGGGGTCTTGAGTTATTTCACTCTTAATATCAGAGCTTTATCTGTAGTAATAATAATTTCAGAGGTGGAGACTTGAGGGGATTGGGGCACTGAGTTATTTAAGGAACAAGGCTTTGTCTAAAGGAAAGAGAAAGGGAGGGAAGGGGAGGAAGAGAGGGAGGAAGGGAGGGAGGGATGCTGATTTTGATCAGGTAAGCTAGCCATGCTAGGCTGTGCCTTCATGATCCTAGGACCTAGAATAGGAGGTCCCCAACCAGTGTGCCCTGTGTGTTTTAGACTTGTTTGGGGCAGGCGTGTAGACGGGAGATGGGGAGTGTGCGCATCATGAAGACAGCCAGGGAAGCTATTATGCATCACCTCTGTCTATCACATCTCCTTGGGTCAAACCACAACCCCTACCCCCACACACCAATCTCAGGCTGCACAGAATCTCTAGTGAGGAAGTTTACTTTAAGGGTCGGTGTGGGGTACACTCCTAAGATACAAGCATGCGGGAGGCTGAGAGCTCTGTGTTTAAGACTGAACTATGTAAAAAGACTCCTAAAAAAATGAATAATTTCAGGTCTAAGAATTTATCCAGGGTTAAATATGGGCTCCCTCTCCCCAAACAGGTTCTTACTATAGAACTCATCATGACCTTGAACTCATGATCCTCCTGCCTCTGGGCATAAATAATCCTGGCTTCTGGGGATAAATAATTTTGTATAAGTACACTTATCCTGAATTATTGGGTTAAATCTCACGAGTAAAATTTGAAAATGTAACTAGGCATAGTAGCATGTCCCTGTGATACCAGGGATGCTGAGTCAGGAGGATCCTGAGTTGAAGGCCAACCTGGGCTACATGATGAGTTCTAGGAAAGCCTTGGCTACACAAACTACTTATCTGAAGAAAAAATAAGTATGGGCAGGTTAGTTAAATTGAAAAGGTTACTTTTATATTATAATGTAAAAGAACACAATAAAAACAGCATATTTTACATAAGTAAAGCAAAGAGGTCAAACATGGGGCTCACAGCTATAATCCCAGCACTCAGGCAGAGGCAGAAGAATCATGAATTCAAGGCTAGCTTGGGCTGTAATGTGTATTACATATAGCAGCAGGGTCAAGACTGTAGTTTGATGACAGAGAACTGGCCTAGAAAGCGTGGTTCAAGCCCTAGCATTGCTTTGTATCCCCACCCCACACGCAAGCATGCATATGCACGCACCAATATATAATATATACATATTAATCTCTCTCCCTCTCTTTATCTCTCTATATATATGGAGAGAGATTTATTCTTTAAGTTCTGTTGCTCTAGAGAACCCTGACTAAAACAAATTCTCCTTCAGAGCAGGCCTCACATCTAATCAAGAGAGCATCTGGTTGCCCCCGTCAGCTGTCCGGCCACGATTGCACCAGTGGGCATATCTTGCCTGGTAGGATGATACTGAACTACGCAGGAGCCAGAACTGAATAAGGCCTCTGGTGTCTTTTCTTCTCCAGCAACCTACATAGCCCGGCCCGCACTGTGAAAGCTAGCCACTCCGAGAGACGCCTGGTCAATCCAAGATCAGTGTCTTTATGTCCTGCAACCAAACTGTGACGTTTTCAGCAACAGGGTCATACCATCTAGTTCTCACTGGCAACCAAGAACAACCACAATATCCTGTATTGTTGAGCTGCCTCCTCTGGGGACACCCTGAGCAATAAAACAAAGGAAGGTAACCCATGCTGACTCTGGGATTTTCATTTACTAACCCACGTCTCCTGGGAGCTGCTTTCTCACCCACACTCGGTATTTCCTTTGTTTCCCCTTCGCTAATTCTTTTTAGTTAGCTTACCAACTAGTGGGGCGTCATAAAACTTCTTCATAATCCTTAGTTTGGACTAGCTCTCCTCCCATCCCTCCTTCCCCTACTGCCTTCCCCAGCATCCGCTCCTTTCCCAAAGTTTCTACTCTCCTATCTTACTACAGCTTCTTTAAGAAATGGATTTGGTGGTCCATGCCTGCTATCCCAGTCACTTAGCAGACTAATAAAAGCTCAGTTGAGCCTCTAAGGTCCTGAGATCAACCTGCAATGTACTATAACATTCTGTTTCAGAGCAAAGTGAAATGAAAAAAAAAAAAAAACCCTGTAGCCAAAAGTCAAAGAAGCTTTTATTACTTTAATAATTAGTACAGGGAAATCTTAACACACACACACACACACACACACACACATCCCTCTAAGAAAAGGTCTCACTACGTAGCCCTGGCCTGGAGCTTACAGAGGTCTGTCTGTCTCTGCCTCATGAGTGCTGGGATTAAAGGCACCATGCCCAGCAGAAAAATCTGACATTATTAAGAGAGAGAGAGCAGAGGCCAGGGAGTAATTTGTCCATGTGAGTTAGGTTCAAAATGGAGAAGGTGACTCTGTGTCACAGGGAGGAGTGGCAGGGGCAGGAAAGGCAGGCGGGTGATGGCTGAGCCATCCGCTGGTCTGTGGTCTTGCCTGTGCTCCTTTACTTTCCCGCCCTCAATGCCTCAGGTTCGCTGATGGGGACCACAAACTGAGCTCATGCAAGTGCGTTCCACAGTGTGCTCCACAGATAAAAGGGTTGTCGTTTTTCTTAAGCAGGTGACTTCCAGCTCTGGCCCTTGGTCTCCTCGTTCTTAGAATGGATGAGACTAACTGATAGTGCCAAAATCAAGTGCCATTTTGTAAACACAAGTCTCGGGTGGAGTGATCACAGACTTGAAAGTTCTTTTTGATTTTGAAGATAATGGGGAGGAAGGGTAATTTCACACCTCCGATTTTTCCTTCTGTGAAGTTACCAGCATTTCCTGGTCTGGCCATCCTTTGTGGCAGTTGCTGAGTCTGGGGCTCAGATGAGGAGGGTGAGCAGTTTCAGCCGAGGGAGGCCAGGGACTTAGGCCTGAGAAAACCCCACAAGTGAGATGCCGTCATGGTGTCCGGGGTCCATCTGCCCTCGGTAGAGAGGGCAGCTGAGTCATATCAGACATCACCAACACACATCCTGGCTCTGCCAGCCTTCTGAACTCCCCAGATCACTCATCAGTCTGGGCCCAAGTTCCCACACTGCCCTGAGAACAGACCCGTGGGGTCGAGGGAGGTGAGGAGAAAGGTCAGAATTAGTCACAAGAGGCAAATTATGAACGACACACGCCATATGCCAGCCTTGTGCCTGGATGTGGAATTTCCCTCTTTTTTTTCTCTCCCCTCCTCTTCTTTTCCTCCCCTCCAAGGAATCCAGCTTTTTACCTTCTAGGTAAGGACTCTATTGCTAAGTTACAGCCTTAGCTAAGGTGCATACTTTTCAAACCCAGGGTAGCCCCACAGGTCTCTCCACAGTTACTGGATGAGGAGGGAGACCAAGGCCTGGAAATGTTATTCCTGAGGACGGACTCTCGGTGCGCATCTGCCTGAGCCAGCACCGCTTACGGAGTACTTTCCAAGAACATCATTTCCTTTGATGGATGATACAGCAGAGCAGATATGATCAGTCCCAGCTTTCAGCTCAGAAGCCTGGGTGAGGGGCCCAGGGTCAGGCAACCGGAAGTGACCATGGGGAGCCGGGCCCTGGCCTAATTTCAGCCTCTCTGTATTGGAAGCATCACTATATGCTAACGGCCCTTCAATGCTTATAATAAACATTTCTGCAAATGAGATCGAGGAGGAGAGGTTTTATAATTCTCTTAATTCTAACACAATCATTGTTCACATTTATTGCATTTTCCTCTGGCCTTTTCTCCGTGCCCTTTGATAAAGTAGTAACTATTATCATGCATAGGATGCGACAGAATTTCTTTCCCTTTTCAGATGATCTCCTGTGGTGGCACAGTCCTGCAGTCCTTCATTTGGCAGCAGTTAAGCACCACCTGCTACAGGGGCCACTGCTCTAGGTACTGAGGGCACAGCATGAAATCAACGGGCAGCATTGTAATGGTGAGGGCATGCTTTGATGAGAGACCAATCAGCACATAAACGAAATACCTGGTCTTCTATTGGTGAACAGAAGGAGAGATCTTCCCTGATGCCTAAACCAGGAGGGAGAAGCAAGGAAAGATAGTCTTGATACAGTGGAGACTGTGCGGCCTAATTTCATACCTATTTGACACAAGCTATGATTACTCGGGAAAAATAAAAAAGAATCTTCATTGAGAAAACACCCCCATCAGATATTGGCCTGTAGGCAAGCCGATGGGGGCATTTTCTTAATGAGCGGTTGACGAATCAGGGCCCAGTCCCCTGTGGGTGGTGACACCCCTGGTGTCGCCCAGGTGGTCTGGGATGGAATAAGAAAGCAGGCTGAGTAAGACTTGAGGAGCAAACCAGTAAGCAGCACCCCTCCATGGTCTCTGCACCAGCTCCTGCCTCCAGGCTCCTGCCCTGTTCGAGTTCCTGCCCCTACTTCCCTTAGCAACAGAGTGTGATGTGGAGCCCTAAGCTGAAATAAAAGCTGAAATAAACCCTTTCGTCCCCAAGCTGTGGTTTACTATAGTGTTTTAGCACAGCAATAAAACGCTAACAGACAGAAGCAGTGCAGATAGTTTTGCATCCTCAGAATAAAAGTGTGAGGAGGTTATTTAACTTCTGAAATTTGCCTTTTATCTCTTGGACATTTATTACCAGCATTTCCTGGTTCCTCGCTGAATTCAGCGACCTTAACTTTTGCATTTGCAACCCATCATAGTCCTGAAAGCACAGCGTTATGTTTGGACATTTAGAGTTTCTCCTTCTGGGTCTAAATCTTTAAAAACTTCTCTTATTATAATGTTAGGGAGTGTGGACATTTGAGGCGGTGGAATATGCCCCTTTTTTTTTTTTTTTTTTTTTTTTTTTGGTTTTTCAGCACAGAGTTTCTCTGTGTAACAGTTCTAACTGTCCTAGAACCCTCTTTGCAGACCACGGTGGCTTCAAACTCACAGAGATCCACCTGCCTCTGCCTAGTGCTGGGTGGGATTAAAGGTGTGTGCCACCATCGCCCGGCTGGAATATGCACATCTTTAGAGTTCTTGATAAAGATGGACCAACTGTTTTCTTTTTTCTTTCTTTCTTTTTTTAAAAAATGTACATTGACGTCTGACCTGCATGTAGAATCCGCTGGAATTGGAGTTACAGACAGCTGTGAGCTGGCATGTGGGTACTGGGAATTGAACCTGGGTCTTCTGGAAGAGCAGCCAATGCTCTTAACCAATGAGCCAGGCATCTCTCCAGCCCTCCCCCCCACAACTGCTTTCTAAAAGAATCTAGTTTGTTTTTCCTCCACAACCTATTTAGTTCCTGTATCCGTGCCTCCTCTCCCTCACCAGGAAGTGGGGGCTCGTTCTCCATGGAGTGAGGAGCACATGAGAGCCCAATTGAGTGCTGCACCCCAAGAGAGGGAGCCATTCTCTGCTCCTCTCTGTGCATAGCTCTACGCTGTAGGAAAATGCCAGTTTCAGGAAGCAATGCAGGGTGGGAAATGAAAACCTTCCATTTGTTCGAGAAGACTTCTGTCTCTCTGTGTCTGTCTTCAGCTGAGAAATCAGAGAGGAACTTGGAGGGGGCCCTGTCCCAGCAGCCTAGAACAACGCCTGCTCTGTAAGCTTCGGTCTGGACACACACCCCTCCATGAGGGTGTCCTGGAAGCCCTGGGGCCTTCACCTCAGAAAGCAATGGTGAGGCTAGGCAGGACTGTGATATAAATGAGCCCTTAGACTCAGAAGGGCCTGAAGTACACCATGTTGGCTCTGTCTTGTCACTCCCGGGGCGTGCAGGGGGACGTGCAGGGGGACGTGCAGAAGGACGTGCAGAAATGTTCTTTTTGACAGGAATGTTGCAAGGTGGGGTCAAAGCGGGCTGTGTTGCTAGATATACTCCAAACCAATAGTCTCAAGTGCTAGAGGAATGCGGCGGTACTAGATGAGGAGAGAGGAGGTTAAACAGCGCGAGAGAATGTCCATCTCCAGATCTAACCTCACACAGAAGCATCAGTCTGTGTAGCTCTCCATGATCCACAGTCTGGCAAGGACGTGGTTCTCAGGGACAGCCCTGATCCTGGAATCCTTTTCCCTCGCTGATCAAGATGTTTCTAAGCCAAATCTTTTTAAATGAAAACATTTCTTAGGCTGGGCCGTGGTGTCACACACCTTTAATCCCATCACTCAAGAGGCAGAAGCAGGCGGATCTCTGAGTTCGAGGCCAGCCTGGTCTATAGAGTGAGTTCCAGGACAGGCTCCAAGGCTACAGAGAAACCCTGTTGCAAAAAAACAAAAACCAGAAACCAACCAACCAACCAAACAAACAAACAAAAAACAAATAACAAGAAAAAAATCCTTCCAGAAGCCTCAAAGGATAAACCAGAGTCTGAAATGGTTAATTCCAAACATTTGTACTGGAAGGACTCCCAGAGCTTGGGGGAAAGCCTGGACCACATTTTTAAAAAAATCAAAATTACACATCTCTTCCTTGAAATGACACCTGGCAGGCAGATGCTGTACATCTTCCTCGTGGTTTTTTTTTTTTCTTTCATCTTGCAAGCTTCAAGATGTGAGATGTCCTTTAAAAGAATAAGCAATTCTCTGCCCCCCCCCCCGAGAGTACCACACTGACACAGGGGCAACTGGCCCTCTCCATCTCAGTATCACACACACCATCACCCCGAGGCGCCTCAACCTGTGAGCTAGTTTTGTCTGGTTGCACTTTCTGACACTCATTTGACTCTTGCTGTTCAAGTCAAGACACAGTTGCCAACTAGGGCTAACAAATGGTTTATTGTCATTATTGAGATGGGAACTCACAGAAGAACCTGGGGTTCCTGGATGAGTGATGGGGGAATCTGAACACCCCCTGAAACTTTCAGATCCCAGCATTCAGAAGGAAGGCCAGAACAGCTTCTCCAGAGGGGAGAGGGGTCGCCACAGCAGGGCAGGTACCCTGAGGGAACAGGTGGGAAGGACCGTGAGCCTTTGAAAATGAAAATTCAAACTGGGAATGAGACAGGATTCAGGCAACACAGCCACAAAGATGACCAGAGCGAGAGAACTGCTTCTCCTCTCATTCTACAGAACAGTTTTGAGGTGGCATTGCTAGAGGGCTGACTTGGAGACGAAATTTCTCAGGGGGCAAAGGCTTTTGCAGGGGCAAGAATAGTCAGGGGCAAGAAGGATCTTTGAGAGTCTGGGTTGGGTATCTACAGCCCTTCTTGCCCTGGGGAAAATTAAGGAAACACCCCCATCTTCCCACGCCTATCAGTCTGTGAGAACAGCCAGTCTTAGCTGCCAGCTCTTAGAAAGCCGATGCACAGTCTGGGGCGAATCTGGGAGCACTGTCGCCCCGCGCCCCGCTCCACCTGTGCCTCCCCGGGGAGGTTACCAGAATGAGGCAGAGCTCGCCTTTGGGGACCGGCCCCAGAAAACCGTACTGTCGTCCCTGGAGAGCGAGGACGCCGAGCTGATCCTTTGCACCTGGCGCCCGGGCGCGCGTGCACACCCCGAATCGGGCCCGGGCTCGGAACGAGCGGTCCAGCAGGAGGTAGATGATCGGGTTCGCACAGCTGTTGACGAAAGCCAGGCAGGTGGTGATAGCCAGACCCCAGCGCAGCGCCAGTAGCAGCGCGCAGGGCAGCGGCAGCGCCCGGAGGCGCGCCAGGTGGAAGACGGCGCGCAGGATGCTGAAGGGCAGCCAGGAGCCCACGAAGACGCTCTCCACGGCGAAGATGATGCGCAGCGAATTGCTCCGGGCCCTCCCCACGCGCGGCAGGCGGCGCGACACTCGGCAATAGAAGACCAGGGTGACCACCAGCGGCAGCGCGAAGGTCAGCAGCAAGAGCAGCAAGCCGAGGCCCTGGAGCGCATCTGATGGCTCCTCGGCGCACTGGCTGCCCACGCCGTCGGGGCTCGGCTGCAGCCGGCGGTACAGCAAGGCTGGCAGAGCGGCCAGGAACGCCACAGCCCAAGCGCCGCAGCACGCGGCTCGCACACAGCGCGGGCTCCGCAGCGGCCGCGCTGTCAGCGGCCGGCCCACGGCCAGGTAGCGGTCCACGCTCATGCCCGCCAGCAGCAGCGCGCCCGCGCAGCGCGTGGCTGCCAGCGCGAAGCTGCTGAGTTTGCACAGGCCGTCGCCGAAGGGCCAGAGGCCGCCTTTGGCCTCCGCCGCGGCCCACAGTGGCAGCGTGAGTACAAAGCCCAGGTCGGCGGTCGCCAGGTGCAGCACGAAGGTGTCCACCAGCCGCCGCGGTCCCCGCTGCCTGATCAGCAGCCACACCACGAAGGCATTGCCGGGCATGCCCACAGCGAAGGCCGCCAGGTAGAGCGCAGGGATGATGGCGTGGCTGTAGGGCAGGTCCCAGGCTGGGCAAAGCTCCATTTGATCCAGGGAGCCAGAGCCCGAATAGTAATAGTCCCAGGACGTCGTACCCCAGCTTTGTGTCCAGGCCTCGGTGGATTGCATGGCTAGGGTCACTGGGCCTGCGTGCACCCTGGCGCCGTGCAGCTCTCTCTGAGCAGGAGGGGGTTTGCTTTTCAAGGCCGGTGCCCAGCACCTCCCTTCCTGCCACCCCAGGCCGAGGCGAAGGGGTGAGTAGGAAGGTCAAAAGGGAGAAAAGTGTGGGCCGGGAGGGGCAGGCCTCTGTGATGGAAATGGTGGCTTCCAAGTTGGGGCTGGTCTAAAAGGGGCTTCATGACAGATTACTCTAAGGAGATGTCCTTAGGAACTGGGAGACCTGTGGCCATTCAGAGTTGATGGCTCATCATTTCTGGGTGCTCGGCCTATTATCTGGGGAGAGAGGGTGCGTGAAATCTGATATGGGGCGCAAGAGGCAGTGGGTGCCCTAAAGCATTTACCGGTTCTCACCAGGGGTTGCTTTTGTTTTCGAGTGTTTGCAGAGGAGACCAATCAGACTCAAGGGCTTCTAACTAAGAAGATGCCTTAGTTTCTGTCTGGAATTTGCTCTGCCGTGTGGCACAAAGCGGGCCTGGAGGTTGAGGGACCCTCCCATGGTTCCTGATTAAGAATTGCCCCAGAGCTCCTGGACTAATTAGTTCTGGGCTGAAGGGCTAGATGTGTCATCTGGAGTGGCTTTCGGCCCTAGTCCAGTCCTCCTGGCGCCTGCGGAAGGGTTTTAAAGCTAGGGAGGGTAGCCGCAGTTGTAATGCCCTGCTGGAAAGGGCCAGGGCCCTAGGTTAACCCTCCTCCTTTCCCATCCTTCAAAACCTTGCTGAGGTAACTCAAACAGGGTCATAACCTCGACGACACAAAATGGCCCAAAACAAAGCAACAGATTTGCTGTTCTAAATCATGAGACAGGAGTTCAGAGAGCCCTTATGGAGTGAGGGGAAGGAGAGGGTTCATGGATAAGGGTGTGCAGGATGCCTGAGCTTGCATGGGATGGCGAGAGGCAGGACAAGGGTGGGTGAGGGAAAACATACTTTCTCAAGGAGCTGCACACAAATTCTTAACAGACATCCATTGATGGGCTGTGTGGCAACTAATGTGAAGAATGTCTTCCCAGAGTCACGCCAGTTGTCACCAGAATGAGTGACTGATGCACTGAGCGACCCGGTGTTGGAAATTCCGGGGAGACCGTCAGTTGTGTTTGTTTCTGTTCCATCAACAGTGACCTCTCTGTGTAGCAGGCATGGTTCTGTGCATTGCAAGACATGCATCTTTACTTCCGATCCATAACTGAGGCAGGGAGAGGCACAGGCCGTGTGTGCAATGGCCAACATGCCATCATTCAAACCGTGGTCCATGTTTAAAGCAGAGTCTGCCTGGAGCTTAGAAGCAAGGGCCGTGCTGCTGGCGGGAAAAGGCCACTGAGGGGCAATGCTTCAGGTCAGGTCTAGGAAGAGGATAAAGGTAAAAAAGTGTGGTAGAACAGGGAGGGTGAGCCAGCCTAGGAGGGGATATAAGAGCAAGGACACTGCAACACGTAGGAAGACACCGGCAGACTGCAAGAGCCTAGGGTAGACGTGTAGGTGTGTGAGTGAGCGGCCAGCAGATGAAGCTGACAGCATCTTGGTGTCTGATCCTGAAGGGCTTCGGCTGTAAGTCTGCTTTGGGAAAGCTCTGGCAGGACGTCGCAGGAGGCTGTTGTATTTGGGACTGAAATAGGTGATTATCATTTTATTTTGCAGGAGGTCAGGTCTCCCCAGCATCAGGCAAGTGCACTGCCCCTGAGCTACATTCCAGCTCCTGACCTAGTGGCAGTAGGAAGAGGCTGTGTCAAGATGAGCACAGGTCTCCACAGACAGCGGTAGAGGTAGATTCCTCTTCTGAGGAGCAGCGTGGAAGATGTTTCTCTAAAGGGCCAGAGCACAGAAGGACAGCTGTGTGTGTGTGCCCAGCTTGACAGCGATTGGATGTAGGATGATGAAAAAAACTCATGATCCAAATCAAGATGCACCAAGAGGAAAAGAAGCGTGGTAGTAAAAGGTACTGTTCTGGACAGACTGGGCCACAGGATACCCTAGGCTGGGTCTTTTTTTTTTTTTTTTTTTAATAATGGAGCAGGGAGTAGGAAGATGGGATAGAGGGTTACATGTCCTCACGTTTCCGTCCAAATCCAGAGTGAGGATTTTAAGCTAGAGAGGGAGGGGGAGCCAGATTGCCTTTCTGTAACGGGTAAAGGGCCTGCCTCTATCTGCAAAATCAGCCCATTAACTCAAAAGTGCAGAGTCTGGGTACATATCTAGTCTGTTCCTGACAAGAATTTTTTTTTCCCGTGGGCTGATGAGATGACTCGGTAGGTAAAGGCGCTTGCCACCAAGCCCGAGGGGCCGAGAGTTCAATCCCCTAACCTACATAGTAGAAGGAAAGAACCTACTTCTGCAAGCTGTGTTCTGATCACACATGTGCCATAAACACATGCCCACACACATACTCACATGTATTAAAGAAGCATAATAGTTTTTAAAAGAATATTTCTCATATCAGTTATAAGCTGGGAAAGACAGTCAAGAGCTCAGGGAGTAAAGCTGGCTGATCTCTTCTTGGGATCCCCAGTTTCTAGGCTCGGGCTTTCTCTAAGAGGCCCTCTACCCACATGGTGCTGAGCTGAGCCTACCTCCCGGCTGGCCACAGGGGCTACAGCTGCCTTCCCAGGAAGATCAGTGGGACAGAGCCTAGACAGAGGCCAGGCCCGGTGCTGGGAGCTTCTACCGCTTTGCACATCTCAGTCTAGGGCTCAAAGCATGAGTGATCATGGAAGCTGGAGACGAACAGCGAAGACACCACCGGGGAGAAGACAGATGGAGGCAGCTGCCCAGAGGGGAGGGGAGCAAGGGGCAGAGGGGAAGCAGAAGTAGGTTGTTTACTGAAAAACACAGATCAGTGCTTCCTGGCTGTGGTCTCATACCCATGGGAAGTCTTCTGAGCTCGTAGGGTGGATTTTCTCTGCTGGGGCCCAAGCCCAGCTTGTCTAGAGAGGAGAAGGCCACAAAGGCCAGTGAAGGACAGTGCCCTGGACTCCTGTGGTACCCAGGCTGCTTTGTGAGGTGTGGCCAACTAACTACTGCCTCTTTGTTTCCCAGGAGGACACAGGATTACAAACAAGTTAGTCAATTGAAACATCCATCTTTTCCAGCCTAGGGTACTGTCCATTCTCTGACTAGTGTGAGGGGCTAAGCAGAAGGGGCGGGGGGTGGGGGGGGCTTTTCCCTAAGCAGAAGTGGCGGGCCCTTTTCCCATCAGCCCCTGGAGCCTTCTCTGACACCATCTCTCATAGGCCTCCCCCGTCTGTACTGTGGGAGCCTCCTGGTTGACTGTTCTGTGGTCCATCCTGCCCTGTCCAGTACTGTATTGTCTTAGGGATGGAGGGAGAATAGAGTACAACATTTAACCTTTCAGGACGTTTTCAGGACGTGCTTTCAGGATGTTTTCCCCCTCCTGCCCCTAAATAGGCTGTATTTAGAGCATTGCAACTTTCCCCACCACTCTTCATTTTTCTGTAAAAATTACCATAATCTTCAAGGAATTTGTTTGGAATTGTACTTGCCTCTTTCATTACGAAGTTTCATGACAATCACCCCAGATTTGGCTCTTCAACACAATCATACTTAATAGGTTGGTGAATTTTTTTTTTCATCCAGGGAGGGATGCTGTGGAATATTAGTTTAGGACGTGTTATAGTCATTTATATGGTGGAATATTTGATTAATGGTTCAAAGGTCTATTGCATTCTTTTATGTTGCATTTGCTTAACTCTGTAAAGCTGTGTTACTATGCCTGTCTAAGACACCTGATTGGTCTAATAAAGAGCTGAACGGCCAATAGATATGCAGGAGAGGGATAGGTGGTCCTGCCAGGCAGAGAGAATAAATAGGAGACATGAAGGCAAGGGGCAAGAAAAAGGGAAAGGAGAGGAGGACCCCAGGGGTTAGCCACCCAGTCACATGGCCAGACACAGAGTAAGTAGGAAAGAAAGATATATAGACTAAAGAATGGTAAAGGCCCAGAGCTAAACATAGTTAAAGAGAAATGGGATTAGTTAGAAAAACTGGCTAGAAATCAGCCAAGCTAAGGCCAGGCATTCATAAGTAAGAATAAGTCTCTGTGTATTTATCTGGGAGCTGGGTGGCAGGCCCTCAAAGACATAAAACAAAAACATAAAAACCCAACTATAGAGGATGCTTTCATAGTGTCCACATACTCCCGTTATTCTTAGATTTTTTTGTAAATATTGTATGTCATATATTCTCCAAATATTTAGGTTTTTACACAACTGTTTCCGCCGTATTTGCCATTAGAAGGTGCTTAGTTTACTGTCTGCTGTTCTCTGTGCCACAGAAGTCTGCATTTTATTCTGGTGCTTAATGTTTTTTTTTTTAATTTTTATTTTTTTCTCGCTTTTTAAGACCAAGTTTCTCTGTGTACCCTGGCTGTCTTGGAACTCAGAGAGCTACCTGCCTCTACCTCCCAAGTGCTGGGGTTACAGGCCTGCACCACCACTGCCCAGTGCTTAGTTTTTTTTTTTTTAAGAGTTTTGTTGTTTTTTTTTNATATTCTGTCTGTATGCCTGAAGGCCAGAAGAGGGCGCCAGACCTCTTTACAGATGGTTGTGAGCCACCATGTGGTTGCTGGGAATTGAACTCAGGACCTTTGGAAGAGCAGGCAATGCTCTTAACCACTGAGCCATCTCTCCAGCCCCCCAGTGCTTAGTTTTTTAAGAACTTAAATTCAGATACTTCAGTGGCTTTGGTGCTTTTGTTGTAGTTTGTGATATTCAGGTAGTCATGCTCTTACCTATTATAATCATATATATATATTTACTATTATTTTTTATAAACTATTTATTTATTTGGAATAAATCATGATCATTTCATTCAGATATTTTTCCAAACTTTTTCTCAACTATTTAAAGAAGTTTTTATAGTTTCAGTCAGATTTATCGTTTTTGGTTAAGGTTACTTTCTCTTTGATGTGTTATGGTTTGAATGCAAAATGTCTCTTACAGGCACATATATAT